AATTGGTTTAACTTTGAAAGGCTGGTGTAGCTGAGGCACAACAGGCCCTGGGACCTTCCAGGGAATGGGGAAGGGGACTTTAGATTCACTTACTCTTACTCCAGAGCCTGTCTTCTTAAGAGAGATCGTAATACTTTGGGCAGGTTCATATAGGAACAGGCAATTCGTCAATGTTTTACCAGTTCAGCTGTATCTAAGATCTACCGTGCTTCATCTCCAAAGCACAGTATTACAAAGAAAAATATCCTTCTTTGATCACTGGTTCTTGATTTATAATGAAAATAGAACTAATTTTCACATGGGATACAAACTACTACTACGTACACAATCTTGGTTGTTTCCTAGAACAGGGGATATGCACCTTGGTGTTGCAACAGATCACCCATACCGAATTAAATGGCTCCAAGACCATGCTAGTTTTTCAGAATTCCCTCAACATAATGCTCAGTTTGCAGCTTTATAATGATCTGGGTTTTTCTCTGCAAGGCTCTTCTAAATATAACCAACTTATACTTACTATAAACTAATGGGACACAATTGATTTCTGTTTGGATTCACTAGCACATATGCAACTTGATAGCACAGTATTGATTTCCATTCAAAGTGGTCCTCTTATATGCTTTTTACTGTATTATAGTTTCATTTAATCCTGCATGGTTATGCAATCCATAAGGTTAATTGTCCATACTTCTATTCAGGAACTATGTACCTATTAGTATGTTCTCAGTAGTCGTTCTTCTTCAGGTATGCCTCTGTCTAGGATTGCTGATGACCTGTAATGAGCATGTGAAATAAATGGGAAGTTACTAAGTGTTCAAATATTTATACACACCCATAAGTATGGCACAGTCTATCCAACCTTGGTGGCTTCTGGATGTATTGAACTTCAAGTCACATCAGTCCTGGCCATTGGCCATGCTGATGGGAATGGTAGTCCAAAATGTCTGTAGAACACCAACTTGGGAAAAGAGTGGTATATCCCCTTCCCCCTTTGTAATTTTCTTGCCATTGCTAGAGAAAAGGGACAAATGTGTGTGAAACCATTTTGCTGAATTAGCTTATTTGGGTCATAGTATGAACACTCATCTCCTTCTTTGTCGTTTGTGATTTAACGGAGAGGATTTTCTCTATTGAATGAGTTGAGCAGAATGACCAAGTTCACCTAGATATTTAGATCATTGTATCAAAATCTTCACCTTAATACAAACAAACCTTTTAAAAACAACAACTGGCTTTTAGCTTGTTAGGCTATTATAAATACAATAATTCATCTGTCCATCTTCATACATACAAAGCCAGGTTCCTAGCACAAAGAGCAGGAATGAGAAATTCTGTCTTTGCTTTCTGATTCTATCTCAATTTACTGTGTAAATCAATGAGTCTGTCATTTCTTCTATTTTCCCTAATAGGCTAATATTATTTACTTATTTGTGCCGCAGATTGTCTCCAGCTGAGCTTGCATTACATTTGCCCGTGCATTATGTCTGCGTGCATTAAAAGTGAGGTGTGCAGTCATTCCAAGAAACCACTGATTCATCATCTGGCTAGTCCTACAACTGCCCTCCTGCCACTACAGGCCTGCACATCTGCAGGAAGGATGGTGGTGGGCACAGGAGGGTAAAGACACAGGCTTTGGCTTTGCGTGGGCCAGGTGTATGGGAAGGATGCATCCCAGCCTCAGATAATGCTCTGTGCAAATGTAGCCGTAAAGGTTTATTACCTTCCACATGCATGCCTTCTTCCGTTGCATCCCACAGTCCCATTAACACTGTCTGTCTTCAAACAGTCCTGGGAACTGGGGTAGCTTTTAGACCAGGCATAGGCAATGGAACACCTCTTGTGTCACCCACCCAATTCTACACACCTCCTACTTTTTAAGTGCTTCATTTGCAATGAAAAAATCCTGCTGGGAACTGGCATTTCTTCAAAGCAGAGTGAAGACTTCTAGCTGTCCTTTCTCCTTTCCCAGCCAGCTGCCTCTGGGGAGCATGTATGCCTCAGAGACAGCAGGTCACAGCAGGCGGATGCTTTCATCTGCTACATGCCCACTCTGTGGCGATGCCTGGGATAACTTCTCAAATTGCCACATGTGCCCATGAGGCTCAAAAAGATTGCCTGCCACAGGTCTTGATGGAGTACCAATAAAAAATCAGTGCAGAGCTATTCCCTCTATAATGGGTTTTTTTGTGAAAACAAAATTAAAAAAAGGATTGAGCAGGGGCGAGACATGATGGAGTTGATGTTGCCTGGACCCTATGAAGGAGGCAGGGCAAATAGCAGAATATCAACTGGAACCACCTCAAAAGATATAATTGTATATAAACAATATGAAACAATATGACATATTGTTCCACAATTCTGTCTCTTACTATAAATGAAATAGCCAATAGAGGACACATACACTTCCAAGGGAAACTGATGTTTGCAAATTTTACCACGTACCTCTCTACCCTTTGTGTGCAATTCCTAATGGCTGTTAGGAATCACCTTGTGCCTGATACAAAGAGCATCAAGTCTGCTTGTCATTTGGTCATCCTCCAGCTTAATGCATGTAAGAGTGGCTTGAATAACTTTCAGGCTTTCTGTCTGCACACTGAATTTCCATGGCTGCTCTTTCCTCTGCTCCGTCATCCACAATTAAATAATAAGTGGTTGTGAAAGCTGGATCTCAGGCCCCCTACCTTGATACCTATCACACTTGCTGGATTCTAATTTCCTGAGATGGTTGACTGGAGCACAGTCATTCTTGATTTTCAGGGCTTCTTTTGAGGTGTGCTTCAGTTAATGAAAAGGAGCCACCACAAAACTCTACGTGGCTTCTCCAGCTCATTTTGGAGTGCCTGAAAGGGAATATCGGCCAGCGTCTGTTTGCTGAGAAAGCTGGCAAGCTGGGAAGTTAAGTCCATATCGTGAACACGGGATGCTGCACAGAGACTCAGATGTTTTCACCATCACTTTGCATGCTGCTGCAAAGCTAGTTCCTCTCGTAAGTGTTCCTGGATCTGATCCTGAACACGATTAAGACAGCAAAGGGACGTGAATCTGAAATGAACTGCTCATACAATCCTGTCTATTGATAGCAAACTGATCCGCAGTTCTGGATTTTTATTTAGCCAGAATGGTGCTGTTCATGCATAAGAGGGATGAGATACAGGAAGGCCTGGGGAGAAACCAGATCTTTCAGGTGCACATTTTTTTCATGAGGGGAAAATAATTCCCAATAGGAGACCCAATCAATTATTCAGTGAGGACTGAGCATGTTTCATGGGATTGAACAAGGATGTTTATTTATTGACTATATTTATATGCTACAGCTACAGATTCCAGAGTGGTGAACAATAAAAATTAAAAAAATGCAATATTAAACATTTTTACAAAGAAAATACTGAGGTAAGCTATGGCAGGTCAATCAAGGAAAGCATCTTGAAATAGATGCCTTCTGCAGGTACCAAAGGCAATGAAATGTTGGTGCCTGTCTGATTTCCAGAAGAGGGGCTCACTGCACAGAAGGCGCTATTGCAGGCGGTCTCCAATCAGGCCGTGCTGATAACCCATCCCATTAGGGTAGGTTGATAAGGAAGAAGGTGCTTTTCAGGTGGTTTGGGCCTTATACAAAGGTAGTAAACCCTTAAACCTGGCCCAGCGGTGAATAGACAGCCAGTGCAGTTCCTTCAGCAAAGTGTACTTGCTGAGAATGCACAGCTACTGACAGCAGCCAACCTTTCCCATTCTGCCCTAGCTCTAATTTGCCGATTGCCCTAAAGGTTGCCTTGCACAGAGTATATTGCCACAATCCAGCCTCAAGGCTGCCAGGATCTCTACCACTGTGACCAGGTCATACCTATCTAGGAGAGATTGTAGCTGGCCTTCCAGCTGAAGCTGTAAAAGGCACTCTGATCCGGCATCGCTACTTGGGCCTCCAGTAACAGAAATGCGTCTAGGAGTAACCTCAGACTACGAACCTGATCTTTGAAAAGGTGTGCTGCCCCATTCAGAACAGGAAAAGACCTATCAACCAGACACAGCAGCCATTCATCCTCAGGGCTTCTATCTTGCCAGCTTTCAGCTTCAGTTTATGGTTGTCATCCGGTCTGTCCCTGAGCCTGGGACCTGGACAGTCTCAAAACCTGGACAGGCTCAACTGATTCAGGTGTCACTGGAAGACAGAGCTGCATGTCATCAGCACATTGGTGACACGGCCACAAATCCACCAGCAAGTGTCACCAGTGGTTGCATATACTTGTTGATCAACACTGGGGACTAGACGATACCTTGCAGTTCTCCATCGCTCAATTGCCAAGGATCTGAGGAAATTGACTCTGAAACCAGAGCCAATGTCACACGGTGCCTCCATTATCCAGTCCGCAGAGTAGAATCAGGGGGATACCATGGTATCAAAAGTGACACCAATGAGAGACTGAGCAGAATTAACAGGGCCATGCTCTCCCTGTCCTTTTCCTGGTGAAGGTCAGTCGCCAAGCTGACTGGGTTTGATTCAGTCCCATAATGAGAGAGAAACCCAGACTGAACTGGATCCAGATAATCAGTATTCTCTGAGGGTACCTGCAGTTGTTCTGCCTTGACCCTTAGAAGTGTGTTCAATTGAAATAAACGGGCCAATGTTACAAAGCAAATGTACTTAAGACTGTGGTGTAACTTTACCTTTCCAATTATACTTCCCCAATGACTTTGCACTCTGCCACTTCCTTCTGTCCTGTTCCTTATCTCAACTTCCAGTGTCTAGATTTTTTTTTATTTGATAATGAATGCATTTCTTTTTGACTGGTATTTTTTGAGGAAAATTGTCTAGACATGATGAGTTGTCAAGCACTGCCAAGTTGAATCGAAGGAAGATATACTGGGACTCAATTAAAAGTCTCATTCTGAATATGTAAATACTACCTTGTTTGCCAATTCCTTTTCCCCTTCACCATACAAAAGGAGCAGCAGTTTCTAGTTATTAATACATGCGATGTTGACGTGATCTTGTCTCATTTTAGGCCCAGGAAAGGAGCAAGTTCTTCTCTGTCTTCTACCTGTCCATTAATGCTGGAAGTTTGATCTCCACATTCATTACTCCTGTGCTGAGAGGTCAGTATTGAGCTAGAAAGCCTGCAGGGATTGGAAACACTATGACTATGCTACTGCCTCAGCCAATTTGGTATCCCTTATATCAAGGTCTGAATGAAACCATGTATATGTGCCTTTGGAGGGACTTCATCAGACCACTGTAATTATCCCATGTTGATTCTGATATAAGAAGAAAGGGAATTGCAATTTTTCCCCAGAATTATACATTCTGCTACGTATCCAGGACACTTGTAAAATGTCACATTCTCTTCTCTATCCAGGCAACTGTGATGTCCATAAGCTTTTAGTATACATCTTGAAGACTTTTTTCCCCAGAAAGGGGGACTTTCAAAGGCCCATTTCAATCAAAATATCACCAATATTTTACTTTCCAATATGCTTCTGCTGCACGTACATGTCGTGTATTTTGACTACCCCAAGAACAGGGGGAATAGGGTACAAACGCATGGAAGCAGCCGCAGTGTTGCTAGGATCAGGCCAGAGACAGAGGTGAGCAAGGTGTTATGTGAAAGCCGGGAATTGCTGGCAGCACTCAGCGGGAGACAGCATTTGAGGACCCTTGGGCAGGACTCTTTCAGCAAATCGACATTCTCGCTGCCGTTGCCACCAGCTGCTACTGCTCTTCATCATCATTTGCCGTTCTTGCTACCATGTGTTTACTTGACAGTTCAGGGACACATAGGCTGTCTAGTGTCCTCTACTATTCTTCCTTTTACCATACTGTAGTCTGGGCCAAATTGATAGTCAGGTGAGCAAGCAGGTTGCAATGGGTGGAGGGGAGAATCAGGTTCAGGGGATCTGACCTGCGGGCTCCTGCTGGAGTGTGGGCCCTCAGCAGATGCCCAACCCTTCCTACCTTTGGTGCCAGCCCTGGGCGAAAGGGCAGGCTTCCAGGCCTGCAAATGTTTAAGTGTGACTAGAAATAATAAATGTAATTTGAATAGCAGTGCAAGGCATTTCACCATAGTCCAGAAGATGGACCTGGCAGCCAGTATGCTTGCTCAGGTGGTAACTGTAGATGGGCAACTTCAAGGTGCCCCGACTCTACCATCCTACAGCTCTTTATAGGCCCTACAGGACACGTGTGGGTGGGTGGTGATGCTGCGCCAATGCCAGTGAGTTTATGAGGGCTTGAGGGGGCTACTTTATACCAGGCAGTCTTCTACTTCGGAGAGCTGGCAGGGGACAGTCCTCTGTCTGAAGTTGCCTTCTCTTTGATAGGTTGTGCATGCCACCCCTGGTTTAAAGTAAGAGAACTGTAAAGGACATTAGCAACATACAGTACAGGGTTCCTGGGCATTCTCCATCCAGACCTGCTTAGGTTCACAATGTTGCTGTACCATAAGTCCTCAGACTGTTTCCACCAGATGGAAATGAATGCGGTGAATGCAGGCAAAGCTAGAACCTACACTTCGCATTGCATAAGAGCAATGACAGTGCTCTCTCTCTCTCTCTCTCTCTCTCTCTCTGTGTGTGTGTGTGTGTGTGTGTGTTGTTCTTTTTCCAGCATCAGTAAAGTGGTGAAGTGTGTGTTTTAAAATCTGGGTGTAGGGGTCCTCTTGCCTTCTATATTTTCTAAAGTTCATGACCACAAGTCAAGCGATTTACTTGTGTCAGCACTGTAAATAGCTGTTGCCAAGTACATTTTGTGAAATCTTTTGAACACTGTATTATATGTCAACACAGGCTATTGCCAAAACAAATATAGTAGCATGGTGTGGAGTGAAATGAGCATTGTTGGTTCTTAAATGTCTACCTTGAAAAGAAAAAGAATCCCTTGTCCTTAGACAATTGGCATTTTGGAAGCCCTGAGTGGCTGCTATCTTGAGTATGTGCCTTGCTGCATATCAGAAATAATCTAGGCATGATGCAGAATGTTTCCTGGACTGTCAATCTTCAACTAATCCCCTAGAAAGAAAAATAAATGACCAACACTGGAAATACGTAGAAAATCAGTATTGTTATCTTTAGATAAAGATGTTAAACTGTAATAATAATCAATGTTTTTATCCATGATGGAAGTTGTTAAACTTCAGCTTTGCAAGAAGATTTTCTGGGAAAATTGTCAGTGGGTATGCATAATCCTTGAGCCAGAAATAAATTCCAGGTTGGGGAGTTCAGAGAAGGGATGGGGACATTGTTGCATGGCCATCTTGCATTACAATCTGGCCTGCCAGTTTCCCCTGCCTGATCACTGCCCAAAAATAAAGCAGTTTCTCTGTTTCTACTCTAAACTCGAGGGGTTACTTTCTGTCTTTTATTCTGTTTCGACTCCAGCATCTGCTAAGGGAAGCCTGGACACACATTTCACATGCCTGAGTAGCTTACAGACACGCTTACCTACACAGATGTACTATATGTATTCATACACCTCGTGCTGAAGTTAGGTGAGCATTCCCACACACAGAGTAAGATGTCTTTTGGAGCAAGTGCAGTCACGGAAGGTCAGCTCAATGAAGACATACCAAAATGGTATGTCTCATATTTCTGTATCTTCCAGCAGGGTAACACTTCTGTTTCTGTAATCCGGGGGTGCAGAACCTCCAGTACTTTGGGGTTCCCCAGTGTGGCTTTCCAGCCCCTACTCCTTCCTGCGATCACTGATCATTGAATGGTTTTCTGGCTTTTGTACCTCTGCCTGCCTTTCTAAAATGTTGAAAAGCATCTCCTAAGGCACCGGCAACAAGAGGTAAAATATGCTGCTTGTTTTGGTATTTCGGCAGTGCCCCTTTTTGTCTGGAATGTGGTCCTCAAGGGCTGCTCCAGAAAAGTATCTGGTCTTGAAAGTGGAAAAGGGTCAACACACCTGCCCTAATCTCACTCTTTGCCCAGTGTTTCAGTGTTTGCATAGCTTGCTTGCACTTTCAGATTGTGTGGGTCTGAGACCCACATGCCACACGTATCTAAGAGTCCAGCTGAATCCAGGACACCTGGCAACGGGACCCTTGGAAATTGCTCTGTGGACACCAGAGAGACAGAGACTGGCCTGATCTCTGCTGCATTTCAGCACCTCCCAAAGGTGACTGTCGAAGGCCAAGGGAGGCACTGCAGCTACCAACTCAGCCAGGATCCGGTGATGCAAGCAAGCCATGCTTTTATAAAGCCTGTCTCTGGAGTAGCTGATAAGTCTGAGCAAGTCTTTGCTGCTTTCAGACTTTACTTAATTGTCCGCCTGATAAGTGCCTGCTCTGCATCCAGGCCATCAGCCCTGACCTGAGGGACTAATGCACACAACCAGGATAGTACATTGAGAATGCAGTTTGGATAGATCTGCACATTGTTCCTCTTCCTCCCAAATGGAGCCCCTGTGGTAGACTTTTGTGCAAATGACTTTGTGAAAATGGGTGAAACCCAACCATGCTGTTTCCTGAATTTGTGTATGGAGGAAGCTGTTCACAAGACTGATTCAATGTGTGCAGATCTACTGAGAGCAAGGAAAGCAAGCTGAGTGACTTCACAAATCAAAAATTTTTACAATATAACACTGGAAGGAAGAGATGGAAATCAGCAGTGAACATGCTAAAACGAAGTCCTGTTTCTCATTCTCTTAGGGGATGTGAAGTGCTTTGGAGGAGACTGTTATGCACTTGCGTTTGGTGTTCCTGCCGCACTTATGGTCATAGCTCTTGGTAAGTAGAACATTCTGCAACGAAGCACTGATGGTGATACCATCTACCCCTGAGCAATGCCATATTCCTTAAAAAGCTATGTAATATTAGCCTTAGCAGTGATCAATCTGGAATCCTAAACAACCTTCCAGGTTTGATTCCTCTTCACAAGAACTTATGACTGGATTGGATAGATAATCCTAGAACATGTTTGGATGTAAAGGCTCTCCTTGGAACCCATGAACTAATAATCAAATGCAGAACTACTTCCTAGTATGCGTGCAATGCATTTGTATCTGTACTGCATAAGCACGGCCTGCCCCTATGCATCTGAGCTTCCCAGATGTAGAAGACCTCCATTCTGCGATTGCAGCTTCCAAGCAGATTTGGGTTCAGAATTTGCATTTAAGCACTGCATGTGCCCCATCAGTGTGGTTCCACAACTTGCCTGGGAAATGATGGCTTCTGGAGAATAGCACCTTTCATGGCTTCCAGGGGCATACATATCATGTGTTGTGATTCATTCGTAGCCTCTCTAGAGAACCAGCAGGATACAGCACATTCTCTGTCCCAGAGATACTAGCAACCAACTGAGGTGACAAACCCTGAATTAACTCTGAACGCTCTGGCTATGGCTTGCTGAAGTTCTGTCTTTTGGTGCTGGCTCAGTTCCTTCTGGTATTAAAGAAATACAAATCAAATTCGCTAGCACACCTAAGCTCCTCAGATGCTAGGAAGTTCTAACAGCAAACCCTGAAGCCCTAAATCAGAATGGGACCAGGATTTGAATAGGCTCCCTGTTCATCATCTCTCACTCCAACGTTACGGGGTCTGAGGTGTTCCAGAGTACAGAACCAGAAATGTGAAAGCTGGAAAAAGCCAGAGAAGTGAGTGCATTTTATTAGTCTTTCTCCTTGTCTTGCTCTCCAGCTCTCCTCTGCTTTTAATGCATTCACCTCCAGTAAGCTTGTTCTCGTGCTAAATGTCTCTGCCTAGGAACCCAGTGCGGGGGGTGGGGGGAGTGGTGTGGAGGGATGATGGGGCCAAAAGGAATGCCTAGCCAGAGGATGTTGTTTTCCCTCTTCCACACCCTTTCTCTTGGCACTCGGCCCCATCACAGCTTAGGTCCTGCTTTGATGCCTGGAAGCCAGTCCTGCTATTAGGGAGAGAAAGCTGCATCCTGCGAGCATAAACTTTGGGTAAATCGAAGAACCTCTGAGGAAGAAGTGTCCAAGCCAATCCTCTATGCCTGACTCATCCCCGAGGCGACTGCGGGTCAAGTGCTTAAGAACAGCCTTTCTGCTTCAGAGGAAGTCCAGTGTCGCTCCTGCTGCAATGACAGAATGGGTCAGGGCGTTTCGCTCCCCTGGGTGGGACAGCAAATGGAGCCTGCTCCCCAAGGCCAGGCCAGCTATTTTGACAGCTGAACCCCACGGGGGCCTCTCCCTCCTCCCTGGCCATAAAATGCATCAATAATAAATGCGAATAACTAACAGCTTGCTGGCCTCCCTGACTTCACTCTGCCGAAAGGTAGAGCCTGCCCTGAACAGCCTTGGACATGTTTGCAAGCCAGGCACAAAAGCAGCGGCCCTTCCCAGTCTCCTTTCTTTATCTCCAGCATCTGGTTTATCTGGCAATCAGAGTTCTAATGCCTGAGGACTGGAAGTTCAGTGTAGCCTTCATGCTTCATAGCCTAGCTGTGTTTAATGGGCCTCTGGCAAAGAGAGCATGAAAGGGCCTCTGCATAATTTCCCCAGGGTAACCAGGTCAGAAGCCCTCCTAGCTGATTGGAGGGACGTGTTTTGCATGCACAAGTTTCCAGGTAGGCTTGGAGAGAGCCCCCCCCACCCCCGCCGCCTTGGAGAGCCACTGCCAGTCAGTGGGATAAGCAAGTTGTAGCAGTCCAACCTTTGGTAGTACCCAGACATTTTGTACTATAGTTCCCCTAAGTCCCAGTCAGTGTGGCCAATGGGCAGTTGGCCAAAATCTTCTAAAGGGTGCCATACCTACCCTCTTGTCGAGCTAGATGGACCGAGGCTCTAATTCATGCAGCTTGTTATGTTCCTATGGGCCTTATTGCTTTCCCTGAGACAAGGGTCTTTCCAGTAGAGAAGACTAGGAGAGGCCAACAGCCAGGAGCTGATGGTTCAGGAATAGGCTTCTTCTCCACGCCCCATCAAAATAATGCATTCACAGAATCGCAGAAGCTTTCTGTGTAGCACTTGGTTTCTTTGTGCGCATTTACTGAATACTGGGCATCATCTGGCATTGTCATGTGAAAAGTACACAACAAAGGCATTCAAGGGGAAACATGGGAGCAGGTGTTGTCCTTTCTTTGAACAAGGCTACCAGAAAGGGATTTGTCATTGTTCCCATTGTTCCTGCTGTTCTCCCACCCCCACAAGCATCCCTCAGTAGCGTGAGGCTGGCACAATTGAATTTCCAACCATTCAGATACAAGCATGAAGATCATATTTACAGTTTTTCCCCCTTCTTCAAAATTTGTGGCATTTGTAACTGTGGCCCAAGGCATGCAAAGAGAGAAAAGCATTGAGAGGGCACATGAGCACAAACTAAAGGCCAGCTATAAAGCATACTTATTTTTAAGTTGTGGGTGTGTGTAAGCATGCGTGCATGGCAACACATAGCTGTGACAGAAAAAAAATGTCACAACAAATCAGATACCTTCACCAATATTTCATTTCTCATAGTGACCAAGATAGGAACATTCAGATACGGGGCTTCTTTTTCATAGATAGGAACTCTTGCTTCTGCAGGGATTTGTAATGGAAATAAGAACTACATTGTGCATAATGCTCACTGTCACCATAAATCCCTCTTCAGGCTTTCATTTTTGCATCAGTGATTAAATAGAACAGAAATAATTGTAAGGCTCACGGGCAGCTGCCAGCCACGAACGAGCAAAATTAAGTCTCTGGAGAGGTGCTGGGGTGGGGGGGGGGAGACAGTAACCCTCGATTCTGAGATTCAGTGGCCCCCCTGGAGGACCCCCTCCAAAATAAGTGGGGGTGCTCAGACCCTGCAGGGCCCCTCCACTACACCCTTGGGCTCTGCATGCCTTTACAGAATTCCAAAGCAGTGCCACTGCATCCAGCAAAGACTTTGCACTAGTTTGGCACAGCAGGGCACCCCCCCTAGTCAATCCCGCAGCCCTTCACATTTTGTCCCATGCTGTTCTGGATGCTCCCCCAATTCTCAGGACCAATTTTCAGGGAACAGGGGCTGCAGGAGGTGTAGAGAAGATATACAAAAAAGATGCAGACATGCTTCCCACTAGTGGAGAGCCATCAATGCAAGTAACTCCTTGTTTTTCTTTTAAACTGCAATTCTTTTACAGTGGTGTTTATTGCTGGAAATGGAATATACAAAAAGAGTCCCCCACAAGGAAATATCTTACTTGAAGTTTGCAAATGCATTGGGGTAAGTATGCAAATCCATGATTCTAAGACTGTAAAAGCATGTTTTCCATTTGTATATGCTTGAATGCACATATTAGTGTTCAATTGCCCCCTGGTTGAGGAGATCTTAACTGATCCATTCTGTGAGTTTCACAGTACCACCAATCCTATTCAGGTCCACAGAGAAGTCTTCATCGATAAGGGTGGGGGCAAGTCTAACTCCCCCTCAAGGATCAGAGTCCTGATCTGAAAAATCTGCACAAGACTTTGCTCTCAGTGATGCCAAGAGCCAGTGCCAGATTGGACAAGGAACTTAATCCAAGTAACCATTTAGGCACTATGTCAGTACAAAGAAATCTTTGTGTTCAATTCCATTCAAAGTCTGAGTGTCTTTTGGAGCTAAACCAAATAGTTCATTGAATACATAATAAATAGACCTTTTACCATCCATCTTTCTGGATAATATTACTTTACTCTAGGATTGAGGTCACTGCAACGATTTATACAGTTGAGGCATCCAGGATCTAATACGTTGGGCATCTATGAAGTTATGAACGGTTTGTGACGGGAGAGATTACTTTCCCTTCCACATATATTAGAATTCAGGGTCACCTAAAGAAATTTATTGGTAGTTCTAGATTCATTACAGGCAAAAGGAAGAACTTCTTTGTCCAATGATTAATGCATAATTATCTCAGGTAAAAGAGAACATGGCTAGACTGGACATTGCTAACACATGGTGTGACAATAGCCATCAGCTTAAGATGCTTGAAAAATGGCTTAGAAGGCTCAATAGAAGACCGGTCCCTCAGCTGTAACCCTCTATCTACTTCATGGGATTCTTCACCCACTGAATTCATTGGGACTTACTTCTGAGGAGACATGCACAGGATGGGGCTGCCCAGGGCACTATCACAGTTAAATGGAACATCCGTGTCCTGAGGTGGCATAAATGATAAATGGATGTTGGAGTGAAACACAATCATCATGAACTTCTCATGGGGAAGAGTGTTGGCCTGAATGAAACTTAGATTGACACAGCAAAGCAGTACTTATGCTCCTACTTCTTAAGGGTGGAGAATCCACTTCTTTATCCTTTATATTGTCCAGACCAATATTTCACAAATAAAGGGTACTGTAGACATGTGGTCAGCCATGGAGTTGCATATACGGAGCTGCCTAATATCACTGCAGTGGCCCATTTTTCAGAAGTCTCTGTGCCCTGTCTGGCACAGAGGAAAAATTAAATATTTTCTTCTGGCAAGGAGAGATGGGGAGAGAGGGAATGCTAAGGATAAAATCACAGGCAATTGCCTTTTCCATACGTACAAATTGAAATTTGCTTAACTGGTATTGATCGGTATTAAACCCAGGGTCATATGTGCCCAAAACAGTCCCTTCCTTTGATAATGATGTACTTTATCTTTTGTGGAGGTCAAGCAAAAGAAAAGGTATATCTTGATTTAAGGCATGGATATAGAACTGGGAGGGGGGGGAGATCAGGTTACATAAGTAACATGGAAGTAAGTAGTGGTTTTTGGTAGTGGACAGATGGATAATAGTACCAGATAAACTTGGTAAGAAACACACCTCTGTAAATTGCTAACTTTCTCCTCTAGTTTGCTTTTACAAACCGGATAAGGAATCGTTCCCAGCAGATACCTAAAAGAGAGCACTGGCTGGACTGGGCATCAGAAAAATACTCAGTAAGTTAAAAATATTATATCTGAAATATTTATATAATTGTTGAGAGATTTCTATCAGATGTGTTTGAATGTAGGTATTGGTATGAGCTGCCCTGATGCAGTACCTGAATTTGAGCAAAGAGTGATGATAGCCTATAAAATCCAGGTGACAGCTCTCCAAGGAGGTCAAGATGGTCCAAGAAGGGTAGATGTTGACAAGATGGATGTCTCATCCAGGTTCTCCTCTTTGTCCCTCTAACCAGGGGAAGGGGCAAGAAGTTTGTGTGTGAAAAGCTGGGAGTTTGGGAAGGACTAAGCCATCTTCAGGCATTATGCCTTTGCAGGGTTACCAGCATATGAGTGGTAGAAAAGACTCCCTGAGCTCATCACCTCCATCATATCCTTGCCCAGTGGTGTAATGGTTCATGTTACTTGCAAGTGCTCTTTGTGACTGTCCCCATCACCACATCCACAAAGAGAGTCCACAATACAAGCAGCTCTGTTGATCCATATCAACAAACCAGTTGTAGGTATGCCCATCTCCACCGGGAACAGGTCTTTTGTAAAGCTACTGGGGTGAATTGGCAATCTAGGCACAAACATTCCCCAGTGTATTTACATTACAACAAGGAACAATGCATTGTAGCTAGAACAACTAATTTCTCACCAGCTAGTATGCAGATGGCAGCTGAACTCAGAGGGAACAGGGGATTCTGGGGGAGGTGGAAGATGACATCCCTGCTTACGAAACAGTGCCGGTGCTGCATCCTTGTGAATCTTGCCTCACCAGGCTGGAACCACCACTCTCCATGCACTGGGGGAAAACACCTGCAGCTGGGAGCAGAGGTTTCCCTCAGCTGAGGACTCCATGTGGCAAGATTCTAAACCATGCATGGAGCACACACAAGGATCTCCGGCTCCTCCTCAGATTGGTGCAGTGGAGGGGGCAGAGACAAAAAGCATGTTCTTTCTATCGCATCATCTTAACTGCACACTTGGAAAATATAACAGAGAAAAAGGGAGCTCAGTTTTGCAAAGGGCATAATTCTATACATTTATAGATAAAGTCCCACAAAATCCAGCTGGCTGGCTGGGGAAAGCTGGGAGCTATGGGACTTCTTTATGTCTAAACATGCATAGGATGGCACCCTAAGCACCTTTTGCTACTGGGTATCTTTCTGAAGATCTAATGACTTTTGTTTTTTGAGTGTTTACAAATAAACTCAAATATTTGATAGGAGGATTGCCAATAAGCCTTCACTGACATCCATTCAAAGGATAGCAAACTGGATACAGGCAGCACTCCTGGAACAGCTCAGCACTTTTAAGGGGAGCAAGAAGAGTAACAATATACCCCTCCAATAAGATCTGGCCTATCAGAGATCCACAGGAAGAAGACAATGATGAATGAACTCCTCTCACCTCAATTCCGAATCCAATTGACAGCATCATCAAAAGATGCTAAAAAAGGATGACACACACACACATTCTAAATTGGCTTGCAATTTGTGTTTGTACATAAACTCCCTATATAAGATGCATGATATATGATCCCACTTGGGAATAATAGTGTGGTGCAGGGAAATTGCCACCAACCTTGTTGAAGGGTTGTTGACAAATTTCATTGCCCTCCTGCCAAAACGAACCACCCAAGAGCAACAGAGTGTTTTACATCTGGATAAGGGTCAGTAACCTACCCAATTTTGCCATCAGGAAGGTATATCCAATACCAGTTTCTTGATGCATGTGTCTGTATGACAGATATATTTGCAAACATATGTTTCTTGCATGTTCAATTTATATTTTTGGTGCACACATGAAGATATAAGATCTAAGATACACTGATTTCATGTGTGTCTGCCTGCCAGGTTACTTTGCTGCTTCTGCTTGTATAAAGTATTACTTTATCTTCCTTACAGTATATTTACATCACTTAAAGAGTTGCTCCTACATTAGAAGCATATACTTCTCTACATATATTTCAGGGTAACTGGACCACCGCTCATATCTATGTGTAGTTTCCTTTTTGTCAACTTCCAAAGCTATTGCATCAAAAATGTTCCACTCACACAAAAAAAGTATGGATTGGAAAGTACCTGAACACAATGCAACACTGGTGTCCTTTTACAGCATGAAAATAAACATTATGGAAAGCATATATTTTCCTAGATGGAGATCAGCACCATGAAATAAAATTATAATGTCTGAGGTTATTATCCATTATCCTTGTCTGAATGCCAGGGCAGTGAGCGTGTGGGCCAGGACAGCCATGTGGCCTGAGCCCTTGACTCAAAGGGGTACTCAGGTTAAGGCATTTACTAATATTTTTAGCAATCAATAAGTTTTACAACTTGTTTTTATGTGCATCTCTGTTGCACCAAAATGTGCAAATTTAAGCAAATACGAGTTGTGATTTTATTTATTTTATTTATCTTTTTGTTTATTTAATTGATATAGATATTTCCATATTAAATATTTTAACAATTTTAAGATTTTAAACTGTTCATAAATGTTAATAAAAGTACTTTTGTTCTGTTGGCACAAAACTAGACAGTGACTGATGTATCTTCTCAGTTAAGCTGCTTTTGGCTGGTGCTGGATCAAGTACATGTTGAACAGTAGAGAATTGTTATATTTTAGTGTCTTTACAATTGTATGTCTAGATAACTAAGGAATTATGTAAGCATGAAAATTTTTTACTATGGTAACTAAGAAAGATGGTTGGTTGGTTCGCTGGTCAACTGAGCACATATTTGGTAGCTCGTTCATCACCACAGGCTTTAGTAGTCATATAGCTCAGATTCCATGTGAAGAATTGTGCAAACTCCAATTAGTTTCATGATGACATACATTTAAAATTTTTGGACATTACCCCACTATGTATCCATATCTCTATTCACTATCTCATATATGTCAACAAATAATAATTCAGATGATAAAACTCCACAACTCCAGCAGGTAATATTTCAACACCAAAAGTAGGAAAGTAGTCAAGAAGGAGATGTGCCAACAGTAATAGATGCAGAAGATTCTGTGTATAATCAAGAAACTCAACAGCAATATGGAAATTGTAAATGTTAAGTAGCAAAAGTAATTCATGAGTCCTAGAGTATAGAACAAGCATGATGCTGAAGAATGCAATATTTCTTCATTTTTTTTGCTGAAATTCCCAGTGAGATTCCATGAGATGCTGATAATGATTCTTTCCTTACTGCTATGCCGATAAAACTCCTCCAAACTGTGAATCTAGTGCAAGAGACTGGAGTATGAAAAACAATCTCTGTATCGTGTACCTCACTTCATTTTGAACAAATTCATGCAAATGCATCAGATTTTGTTGACTGGTCAGGACACAGCAGGTTGGATCTGAAATTGCTGCTAAATTGGGCACAAAGAGTGCTCATCAATGGCACCTTCTCAAAATAGAGGAAGGTAACTATTGGGATGCTGCAGGGTTGAGTTCTAGGCCCAGTACTCTTCAACGTCTTTATTAATGATTTAGATGAGGAAGTACAGATTTGCAGGCAATACAAAACTGGGTGGGATAGTAAACACCTTAGATGACAGAGTGAAGATGCAGGGTGCTCCTGATAAACTTGAATGCTGGGCTAAAAGCAACAGAATGAGATTCAGCAAGGAGACATGCCAAATCCTCCAACTAGCAAAAAGAAAACAAATGCATCAATATGAGATGGGGAACATGTGGCTCAGCAGAACTGAAAAGGAAAAAGAACTTGGAGCCACTGGGGGCAACAGGGTAAATATGAGTCAATAATGCAATGCAGCCACGAAAAGGGGATCACATTAATGCATTAATAGAAGTATTTCTTGCAAATCTCAAGAAGTAATACTTCCCCCGTACTCTTCACTAGTCAGACCTCTTCTAAAATACTGTGTCCAGTTCTGGGCACCAAGATTTAAGAAAGATGCAGAAAAATTGGAAAGGGTCCAGAGGAGGGCAACAAAAATGATCCAGGGTCTGGAAAACACAGTCCCATGAAGAGAGACTGAGAGAACTGGGCATGTTCAGCCTTGAAAAGAAAAGACTGATGGATATCCTCTATAAGTACCTCAAAGGCTTTCAGAAAGAAGAAGGGCAAGGTCTCTTCTCACTCATGCCAGAGTGTACGACAGGGAATAATCAGTTTATGTTGCAACAGCCCAGATCCAGGCTAGATATCAGGAAAGGTTTCCTCACTATCAGAGCAATATGACAGTGGGAACAGTTGTCTAGAGAGATGGTGAGCTCTCCCACACTAGAGACATTCAAACTGGACAGCCATTTGAATGGGATGGTATACATTGCTGACCTGCAACAGCAGGGGTTTGGACCCAATGGCCTTCTTGACCCCTTTCAACTCTGCTATTCTATGATTCTATAAAAGACTGAATGCCATCACGTGAATTCAACATCACTTACACAAAACTGTATTGCATGGAAATCAGCCAATAGGACAGCATCAGATAGAACTTCAGTGAAGAATTTATTATCTACCAAGCTGAATTGAACTCTGTATTGAAACTAATAACTGGGTAAAAAGCCCTTCTGCAGCACATTATGAATACCATCCTTTTAATTTCTGAATGAGCGTTGTCTTTTTTAGTTCCAGTCAATCTATTGGTGATCAAGGAAATAGAAACTTTCAAGGCATAGAAAAATCCTCAGTAAATATGACCTACTTTTATCATGTTAAACATGTTCAAGCACTGCAAGAAACTCAAAAGCACAAGTTAAGTCAGTTATCTCTCTACATACACACAAAATGAATTTATTGAACTATCTGAGTCATTTGTACAAACAATTCTTGATGACATTTGAAATGTCAAATATTTTTCAATCATTGTTGATGCCACTCCAGGTAGTTTTCAAAAGAACACAGACTGCTATAGATATTCGATAGGTTAATATTGTAGACAGCTCAACATTTTCAACAGAAGGTTTATTGGTTTGATTATTTCATGGGGAAAACCATGGGGGTGAGGATTTTTGTTTGTGTAGGAAAAAGTCTGGAAGCTTTTCAGTTAGATTTTCCAGTCTGTATTGGTCAAGTTTATGACAGTCCTTCTTACAGGGCTTGGAAGTACAAAATGTACTCGCAGTTCTAGTTGCACATAATTCAGGTAGGATTTTCTGCCACTCTGGAAATCACACACAAAACTTCATAGACATCAACTGTGCTGAATCTTGCAAAGAGTTAATTATTTATTCCAGAACTATTCAACAAATGTACCAACTCTTCAAAGGTGGCAAATTCTGAAGCATCATCTTCTTGTTTCATTGTATAGGATGCCCAAGATTCTGTGTCCTGCATGGATTGAGGGTGTGCAGTCAGTTGCACAGCATTTGAATTCAGCAAGAAAAGTTTTAAATAAATTTGAATTCCTCACTGTCCAGGTTCCACTGTTTGAGCCGCTGTCCAGGCTCAAGCACATGCCCAAATTCGGATGCCTTCTGATGTTATCTTTGTAGATTACAGTTCTCACTAAGCTCCACCAAGCTACTCTGGTAACTGGCATGGATTGCCTCACTTGCTGTTGGGTAGGATAACATCAAAGCCCTTGCTTAAAGTCATTCAGTAGAATTGTGCACAGTACAACATGAACCTAAGAAAGTCTACACTGGTAGTATAAAATATTGGCATCTCATCTGAGTTCTCTGCCAGTCATGACTTTGCAGCTGAATCTACTGCCAAGTCACATTTTAGGGTCAGTGTCTTCTTCGTCATCCTGGACTCAGTCCTACACATTGATGAGAGTCATAGGGAATTACTTGCACCCTTTTTGGATCTCTTTGCTAGTTTAGTGCACTGAATAATGAAGATTTGCTTTCTGCAGCCAAACAGTTTCAGCAACAGTGGAACAAAAACATATCAAAAGATCTCAGTGATGATGTTATTTTCCTCAAATGAATATATTCCATGAAATTTAAATTGGATTGCAAGACAAAGGAATTGCTTCAAGAAATGCTCAGATTTGGAGTCTCAGGAATGTTTCCTGGCATCATAATTGCATGGTGCATTTTGTCAGTTTACCTGCATCAGTGGCCTCAGGTGAACACACATTCAGTGTATTCAATCAAAAACTGCCTTCATTCAGTGATGAGACCAGAACACTCAAATGAGCTCACCTTGCTTAATATCAAATATGACAATGCATGAAAGCTAAATTAAACCTCAATAAGTAGGGTATTTGCACAGAAAAAAAATCTAAGAAATAATTTGTTGAATTAAAAAATATTCAAACCATGTCTCGTGTGGGGGAGATGCTTAATTCTGTTTTCATTAACTGTTATTTTTGTTTTCATTCTGGCTAGTGGCCTCAAAAACTGGAATTGGTCTGAGCCTCTCTGGATTACTGAGAGGCCTTCTGTTGACGATTCTTGTTTCTAACCTTGCTTGGTGCGTCCCTTCACAGAACCAGCTGATCACAGAAGTTAAAATGGTGACACGGGTCTTGTTTCTTTTTATCCCGCTGCCAATGTTCTGGGCTCTATTTGATCAACAGGTAATCTGCACTAATACCAAGTGTGGTTTCACTGCATCCTACACCTCTAATCTGAATGTCTGCATGTGATTCAAAGGCAACACTCACTAGCAATTTCCATTAAGGGTGAATTTTGTCAATACTACCTGACATTTCCTTTATTTTTGCCTTTGCCTAAGGTAGCAAATTATCCTAGGCCTGTCCTGGAAACTGGCTATTGCAAGGTTCTGCATTTGATTCTATGCCTTCCTTGCTTGTGTGCAAACTTCTATCTGTTGCTTGTTTGCTGGATGTCACTGCTCCATTGATTTCCTCTCTGCTCTGAGGGTCATTTTATCTTTCAGACAAATTGATGGCAAGGTTCTGTGCTTGATCGGGAGATAATGCATAGATTGTCTGTTGCTTGCAGGGATTTGGCATGTTAAAGAAGTATGTTTAACCTGCATTTCCATGTGCTGAGGTCTAATACAACATATTTTGTGGCCTTCTGGGGCAGGGACCTAGAGTGCTGTCAAGATACTTCATATCCTGGCAACACCAGTTTCCTCACTGCCACCACCCAGAATACCCTTTACCCAACTCCAGGGCTGGCTTCCTGATCTTGGAGAGGCTACTAGCTTGGTTCTTTCGGCTGACTTTATTTTCCGGTTGGGGGACCGCGACTGGTCCAAGGTGGGAATCTGAAGTGCAGATTTCAGCTCCAAGGTGGAAATCTGAATTCTTCGTCATAGCCTCTGTGCATCACACATATGGGTACTGCGCCTGCACAGTGTCCGTGGCCGGAAGATTGCCAGCTAACGGTTTTTGGCGGGAATCTCCGCTCCCCCTCCCCCCCGTGGCCTATAAAGAGCGGAGCGTCCGCCATTTTGTTCAGTCTTTGCGACCGCCGTTCGCTGTGCCTTGCTTTTGCTTTGACCGTTGCCTTTGTTCTCGATCGTTCCATTTCTGTTTCCCAGTTTTTCTCCTCGCTTCCAGTTCATTGTCCTGCTCCACATAGTTCTAGTAGTTTTTCTCTTATTATTCCTTCTTTTTCGATCTATCTGTCTATAAAAACAAAAAACAAAAATATATACTTACCCTCTGCGTTGTCTCCCTCTTCTTCTTTTTCTGCAATGGCGCAGCGAGCGGCCTTCCACAAATGCGCAGAGTGTGGGTCAAAAATGGCACCAAGTGACCCGCATGACCTATGCCTCCTCTGCCTGGGAGAGGGGCATAGGACAGATAAATGCGCTCATTGCCTGGCCTTCTCCAAGCAGGCCAGGAAGAATTGCGAAAATCACCTCCGGAGACTCCTTTGGGATCGGGCCCTTATACAATTGGACCCGCTTCTTTCCATCCCAAAACCTGGCTCTGCTTCTGTGGCCCCACCCTCACGGCCTTCGGACGAAGGTGCATCTGCTTTGGTGGCTCCCTCTGCTTCACCCAAAAAGAAGCACGAGAAGCAGAAGCATGCCGAATCCGAGAAGTTGGCAGGCCATAAGAAGGCCAGGAAGGAGAAGGTCTCCAAGCCTCCTAAGAAGCCCAGGAATCCGGACCATCCGGACCGTCCCCGACATCGGGACTTGGAACCGACGGGCCCCTTGGTACCGGCAGTGCTTATGGTACTGACTCTGCCTGAACCGGTCCTTCAGGAGGCTATGCGGGTTACCCCTCAAGGGTCTCCCTGCCACGTGGTCGACCTCCCGCCTGCGCCCCTTCCAACTCTACGGGGCTCAATATCTGACGGGGAAATCCAAGACTGCCCCCCAGGGCAAGGTCACCAACACCCATGCCCACGGCCACCATGGAGGCAGATGTTGGACTGTCCCTACCGGGGAGCTGGAGGAGCCGCTCCATGGAGCAATGTTCGGAGGGCTGGCGTCGCCCCTACTATCATACTTGGGGTGATCCACTCTCCATAGGATACTACCCTGCTCCCAGGGGACGATCCTCTCCACCATCCTGTAATCAGCCATGCTCGTCAGATCCGAGACGGGCGTCACCTCGATCCCCTCAGGATGGAAGCAGCCACTCCTTCTCCCCAGCGGAGTCGTCATCATCGGCTCCACCCTACTACGGTGCCAATTCGGCCGACTTGGAGGTCGACTCAACCTCCCCGGACGTTGCTGTTACATCCCAGGGTCCTGCGTCACCGGACGAGTCCCACGTCTCCTTCGCAGAGCTGATGTCTAGACTTGACCAGTCCCTCGACATCAACGCCATCCAGCGTCCGGGACCGACAACGGACAAGTTCTATGATGTCATATGCGGGAAGCAGTCGACATCTATCATCCTGCTGCTCATAACCACCTTGCAGCAGGTGATGACACAGTCCTGGGATCTGCCCTCAAACCCTCAACCAACGTCCAGGAGGTAAGAGTCGATGTACAGGGTTCGGGAGGAGGACATTCCCTTCCTCCTCCGCCATCCCAAACCGAACTCTGTGGTCATCGAATCCTCACAGGGCAGAGGCGAGAGGGCACACGGCACCGAGGGACAAGGAGGGCCGAAAAATCAACTCCCTGGCTAGGTGAGTCTACGCTGCTTCAGGCCTGGGGCTGCGCATATCGAATTACGAGGCGACATTGGCGAGGTACCAGTACTTCATTATGCAGCGCCTCCACAACGTCACCTCGACCCTCCCAGACCACCAGGGTGACCTCGCTAAGGTCCTGATTAAGGAGGCTATGCAGGTTGTGGTGCAGCAGTTATCTACGGCAAGGCACCATGTGGATGCTGACTCACGGGCCTTGGTCGGTGCCATTTCTCTCCGGAGGCATGCATGGCTTAGGAACTGCAACTTTCCAGAAGAAACCAAATGCCGGATAGAGGAAATGCCTTTTGACGGGTCCGGGCTTTTCCACTCACGCACTGACCACAAGCTTAAGAAGCTGCATGAATCACAGATGACGGCATGCAGGACGGAGATACAGACCCAGGCTAGACATAAGTGGTCCTGGAATCGCCCATCCTACAGGCAGTCATATCAACCGAGACAACAGCCCCAGCACCATCAGCAGCAGCAACAGCAGCGCTGCTGTCCGCAGCCCCAGCAACATTTCCAACAAGGCCGCCGCCGTTTCGATGATCGGAGGCAACGTTGACGGGACTGGTGAACCATTCTTCACACTCCACTAATACCCACCCCCCTCTCATCTGGGGATTGGCTCCGAAGCCGACTCCCCATTTGGGAGTCCATCACATCTGATCGATGGGTATTGTCCATCGTTCAGCACGGCTATCGAATAGAATTCAACATCGTTCCTCCATCGAGTCCGATCCGGTTTACATCATGTTCACCAGTACTGCTCGACAAAATACGTCAATTTCTTCGTAAAGGAGTGATTCGTCAAGTATTCCCATCTGATGGACTCCACGGATTCTATTCCAGATACTTCACGGTCCCGAAGCGGGATGGTGGTCTACGTCCAATTTTGAACTTACGTGACTTGAATAAGTTTATTGTACCAAAACAGTTTCGCATGACCACCCTTCAAAACATCTTGCCGTTGCTAAGGAGAGAGGATTGGTTTGCCTCATTGGACTTGAAGGACGCCTACTTCCATATTTCGTTTCACCCGAGTTACAGGCGTTTCCTTCGTTTTGCTGTTGCACCCCATCTTTATGAGTTTACAGTTTTGCCCTTTGGATTGGCTACGGCTCTGAGGGTATTTACCAAGTGCATGGCTCCTGTCTGTGCTTTCCTATGCCTCCAAGGCATACAAATTTACCCATACCTCGACGACTGGCTGTTAGTGTCGCAGTCCAGGGAAGGACTCCTCGCGGCCATCCATACAACTTGTGCCCTATTGAATAACCTAGGCCTACGTATTAATACAGAGAAATCTTCTCTTCTTTCGACACAGACGCTCACCTTCATTGGAGCCCACTTGGATTTGATGTTGGAAAAAGCCTTCCTCCCTTGGGACAGACAACAGACTCTTGCTCGCCACATCCATCGAATGCGACAAGATGGAACGGTCCCGGCGAAGTCTATCCAGAGGATCCTGGAGCATATGGCTTCCTCAGTTGCCATAGTTCCGCATGCCAGGCTTCGGCTCCGTCCACTACAACTTTTTTTCAACAAGGTGTACCATCCTCAGAGAGATCCACCGTCGAGGTTGATTCGAATCCCATCTTCCGTGCTTCACTCTCTACTTTGGTGGTTGGTACCGACCAATCTGACGGTAGGAGTCCCCTTCAGGGCTCGGCCTCCTACGATAACCCTCGGTACCGACACGTCTCTTCTGGGATGGGGAGTGATATGCTCCAGCCTATCTACCCAGGGTACGTGGAATCGTCGAGAATCCACGAATCATATCAACTTCCTAGAACTGCTGGCACTATTCAAGGCCCTGTGCTCTTTCGAGGACATTCTTCATCATCGGGTCGTTCAGGTAACTTCGGACAATATAGCTACCGTCTTTTATCTGAACAAGCAGGGGGGAACAAAGTCACCGACTCTGGCCAGACTTTCTATGAAAATTTGGGACTGGTGCATCCCGAGAGACATCACATTGATGGCTGTTCATCTCGCTGGTGTGGACAATGTGCAGGCAGATCTTCTCAACAGGCACATGTTCACCTCTCACGAATGGGAGCTCGATCCTCGCACGCGCGACCACCTTTTCCAGCGCTGGGGGTTTCCCGACGTGGACTTATTCGCCACCCAACAGAACAAGGTGTGCAATGCTTACTGCTCGAGAGCGGGAATCGGACACGCATCCCTAGGGGACGCATTCATGATCCCTTGGAACAACATGATCTTCTACGCCTTCCCTCCGATCCCTCTTCTGATGCGGGTCATAGCGAAAATAGTGCACGACCAGGCATCGGGGATACTAGTTGCCCCTTGGTGGCCACGTCAAGTGTGGTTTGCGACACTACTTGACATCTCTCACGGGGAATTTCTTCATCTACCATCGCTTCCATATCTTATAACACAAGAGGACGGCACACTTCGCCACCCGGACTTGCTCTCATTGAATCTAACAGCGGGGCGAATCTGATGACTGCCATTATTCCATCAGTGCCGGCGACGACTTCGACCGACTCGAACCCAGTCGTCGAATCCAATCACCTGAGCGCTTCCCCTTTCTCTGGTCTCTCTGTACCATCAGGTTCAAGACAAGACCCATCGAATTCAACACTTTTGCACCCTGATATTCAACATATCATCGATTCTGCCTTAAAGCCGTCCACAAGGAGGTCATATGCAGCTAAATGGAAATGTTTTTCCACCTTTGCCTAGTCTCGTTCGTTCTCTCCATTCCTGTCATCTATACATCAAATTCTTCAGTTCCTGTTGGAACAGCACCATTCCGGATTGAAACCATCATCCATTAAAGTATATATGGCTGCAATAGCCTACTACCGTGGCTTAGTCGACGGATCACCTCTTTTTTCTCAACCTATCGTCAAAAGATTTTTGAAGGGGCTATATAATCTTAACCCATCAGTTAGAATGGTGATGCCCACATGGAGCCTTTCTGTCGTTCTACAAGCCCTTACGAAGGCCCCCTTTGAACCATTGGCGACAGTGGATCTGCACTTGGTCTCTTGGAAGACGGCGTTTCTTGTGGCTGTCACTTCAGCCCGAAGAGCCAGTGAGCTTTGCACTCTCCGCATAGACCCTCCTTATTTGAACTTTCACAGGGAGAAGGTCGTTTTACGCCTCGACCTGTCTTTCCTGCCTAAAGTGACTACACCTTTCCATACGGGGCAAGACATTGTGCTGCCTGCCTTTTTTCCGTCACTGTCGACTCCATTGGAGAGATCTTTGCATTCACTCGATGTTCAGCGTTGCTTAGCCTTCTACCGATCGCGGACGGAGTCTATTCAACGTTCCAATAAGCTATTCATTAAGTATTCTGCTAGGGATCAGGGCGATCCAGTCACTCCACAGAGACTCTCTAAATGGATAGTCCATACTATAGTCTTATGCTATCAACTAGCTAAGCTCGATCTGCCTTCAGTTCCTTGAGGCCATTCTATTAGAGCCATTGCAGCCTCATCTGCCTTCGCATCCGGGGTTTCGCTTGATGATGTCTGCTGAGCCGCTACTTGGGCGAACGCTTGCACCTTCGCCAGACACTACCGTCTCGATGTTCAAGCTCGACGGGATTGCTCCTTCAGCAGAGCTGTTCTCTCCTCCGTTCTTCAATGAGGACACCTTCCTTCCTCCTTTATGGTAAGCTTGTTAATCTACCCATATGTGTGATGCACAGAGGCCACGACGAAGAAAAGCAGGTTGCTTACCTGTAACTGATGTTCTTCGAGTGGCCATCTGTGCAGTCACACAACCCACCCGCCGGCCCCGCTTGGTGTCGGTGAGTGGATACATCTTTCGGTACCGACGATTCCCTTTTTTCCATGGTACCAACCTTCCTTTTTTTTCCTCCATCTGGAATTTCAAAATTTTTCCATAAGGTGGCACACGTTCGGTCACAAAGACTGAACAAAATGGCGGACGCTCCACTCTTTATAGGCCACAGTGGTGCGGGGGGAGCAGAGCTTCCCAACAAAAACTGTTAGCTGGCAATCTTCCGGCCACAGGCACTGCACAGGTGCAGTACCCATATGTGTGACTGCAAAGATGGCCACTCGAAGAACATCAGTTACAGGTAAGCAACCTGCTTTTATCCAAAGGCCTGCAGGAAAAAAAGAAGAAGAAATGTGGGGTGTGAATTGAGCCTTCTGGCAGCTATTTGTCTTCAATAGATTTCTTTCTTTATTTGTACAAATATACAGTGACACAAATCTATGGTGTTTACATAATTCTTATCAGGAAAAAAGAAAAGAAAAAAGGTATAGCAAAATACTTTCATTAATTACTAAATTACTCATTAATTTAATGCAACGCTGCTTAAACCTTTAAAGGAAGGAAAGCAAAGAGAGTGAAGAGGCATTCTCTTGATAATTGTAATTTCAAAACAATTCTCTGTGTTTTTGTTTTTTTTGTGAGTATTCCATCTTACTATTTTTAGTCATGCAAGCAATTATCCATATTTTCAAAGAGTATGACCTGTTGTCTCCATGCACAGCTCATGGCATTTGTAATTGTTTGTTCTCCACTCCTAGGGTTCTAGATGGACGCTTCAGGCTACTAAGATGAATGCTGACTTCGTAAGTGGAAAGATGTATTCACGATAGTGATATTTATCTTTTTAAAAAATTAAACTCACTTTTTAAAAATGATGGACTTGCATTGTATACAGGGTCATCCTTATATTGATTTTTTTAAAAGCAGGTCTTTAAAGAGACAGTAATTATATCCATAATGTCTAGGAAGCCTAAATTGCTAAAGTGAGAGCAATAGACTATGGAATGGGTTGGAAACAGTAAGTAGACCCAAACATTCTGCTCAGGGAGATTCAAAGAATTCGTGGAAGTCAGTGGTTTGCTCAGTGATAGCACATCTACTTTATATGCAGAAGGTCCCTGGTTCAACCCCCAGCATCTCTGGTGAAGCCCTGGTTGGTCACTGCAAGTAAGTGTTGACATAGCTGGGCTGGATGGACCAAGGGTCTGATTCAGTGTATGGAAGCGTGCTGTGCTCCTGAGTCCCTGAGAGCATTTCAATCGACTTTCCATCCTAGCAGTAGTAGTGGCAGTAGTAGATTCAATTTTGGGAATGGAAATGTAAAGCAATCACTGGACATATGCTTTCCATAGATAATGTCCCAAGCTCAGACCCAAACAATTCTTGTAAAGACAGGGCGGGGGGTCAGCAAATAGAGCTGGGAAACACCTTGTTAGAAAGTCACTGTTGGTTAGTGTTAGAATTGTGTGAATCAGCAAATCTCAAGTCCCACAAGATTCTTTGAATCCCAGCTCAGAGTTCATTCCAGCCTGTGTTTCTATCAGATTGTGAGCTTTATTTTTTCTTCTCACACAAAAAGTATGTATCACGTATATATAATTAACTGAGTACATTATTTGAAATGTATGTATTTTCCCCACTGATTAAAGTTTGCATTTTTAAAGTACATTCTTTTGTTCTGCAAGTCATTCAGCAAGCTCAGAAATATATGGACTTGGACCATAGTTCATATCTGAATCTGTGTTCGGTTCTGGAAAGTGCAAACTGGGTAAATTCTTGTGAAACATGAAGCAAAACTAATTGTTCATTTATTCCTAGTCAGAGTAGACAGGGAAAGATAGATCAATAGCCCAACTCAGTATAAGGCCATTTCAGATTACGTTTGTGTTCAAATTCATTTGTACCTTGCCCTTTTCTCATGCAGTTCAGCTTCTTGTCATGCTTGCAGCATTCCTGTAGGAAAAGCAGGGATATGAAACTGGAGCCCAGTCCAGTAACTTCTTATCTATAGAGCACTGGCTTTCCTAATTTTCAGAGGAACTGTGTTGGAAGGCTAGATATTTGCAGTGATATTTCTGGGAGGTGGAGAAATCCATTAATGAGTGTACAAGTTTCTCTTCCCTATGGATATATGGGGCAGCCCATGGCCATGATGTGAGAACCTGAGAACAGTCTTAGCAAAGAGGAGCTGTGGAATGTGTGGCAAATTGTATGGTAAGGGCCATAACTGGCTCTAAGAGAAATATAAAGAAATCATCCAAGTGCCTCTCCCAAGGGGCACCTTTGTACTCACTACCCACATCCAGTACACACAATAAACCCTCTTCTGATTACTCCATCTCTGAGGTGATCAGATATGGATCAGGAAGGGCAGCGGAACTGCAGGCAAAGTTCCACAGAACATCATGGAAATCTCAGATAAAGGCTCATTAATGCATTAGGTCAATCAGAAACAGATACTGTCCATTTTTAAGGCAAACACTGCATCACCGTGTCTAGTTTCGAGATGCTGCCTCGGTCAGGAGATAAAAGAACATCTTCAGCAGGGGCTCTGTGATGTTCTTTAGATGGCTTGCTTATAAAACATTGTTCCTTGCTTGTCAAGAAGAATGTTGAGTCAACCATAAAAACAAACACGGAGCCACTGGGAAGTCACTGCAGCTGTTTCCTCCCTCCCTCCCTCCCCACTTGTGCTGGCTGTCTGCTTGGCTGATGCCCGTTCTGCTACACGTACCTTATTTCATCTGCTAACCAGTTTCAATGTCATTACATTTCAGAGCGGATATGTCCTTCAACCTGACCAAATGCAGGTAGGGCAATGTCTATTAGCAAGTGCCTGTTTCCAGAGTGACTTTGTTCCCATTGATTGTGCTAGATTATCATCAGTTCTGTGATCATTAACAGATACAGATACATAATCTCAAACTAGACTGTATCCTGGAATTCCATCAGCTTCGGTTGGAAATGGTATGGTCATACAGGCAATCATAGTGCATCATCACCATCATCATCATCACCCAATTTGTTTCTCTTTTCATCCATTAAATTCCATTCATTCTGTCATTCATGCAAAGTACATTCATTTTCTTTACATGAGTAGATTGTTGTTGTAACTGTTATCTGTTCATTTATTTATTTGCAGTTTTCTATTGTGGCAAACTGATTTTGGCAACTATCATTTTATTTTCCCAGAATGCTCTTGACATCACATCTTTCTGGAAAAAAGGGGGGAATAATAGACACCCCATCCTGCGTGCCCTGTATTGATGTAACATCTGTGGTATTCTGGGAAAGTAACATGGCAGCCATCAGGAGGTGGCCACCAAATCCAGCTGCTGTGATTAGAGAGAAGCCAGTCCTTCCAACTCCAAATGAGTGATGAATGGATAAGCATGGGATAACCATAATGAACCCATTCATCCCACTCATTATGCCAAACCAGAATGGCTAGTGGTTAGAATGTTAGACTGGGACTCAGGAGTTCTGAGTTCTGGTCTCAACTGTACAGCTCACTAGGTGACTCTGGCCCAGTCACAGACTCTCCGCCTAACCCATCTCACAGGGCTGTGTGAGGAGAAAATGAAGAGGAGGAGAGGAAGGCTTAGGTAAGGTGCCTTGGGTTCCCTGCAGGAAAAAGCAGGATACATATAAATAAGCTCATCCCATTTCCTAACAAATGAACATGAGTGGGCCCCAAATGCTATATTTGCTACAAAGTGAATGCACACCGATATCTTATATGTAAAAGCAGGAAAAATTTCCCAAGTATGAAGTAAAGCAAGAGTTGCAAAGGGGAGTCCAGAATGTTTGCCTGAATCCTTCTTTATTAGTTCTGTTGATAGTTCTTAATGGTCATGGAATGCAATCCTGTGCATATTTCTTTAGAAGTAAGTGGTTTCTGTGTTTAATGGGGCTTACTCTCTCCTAAGTATGTTTACAATTACTGGTTTAATTATCATGATTTTCTAATCTTATACCTTTTTTTGGCTTTTCAGTTCTTAAATCCTCTCTTGATCCTTGTGTTCATTCCAGTGTTTGACTTTGGGCTCTACCCCTTAGTAAACCTGTGCAAATTTAATTTCACGTAAGTACCTGACCAACAAACAGTGCAGTATTCTCCCTCTGTTCACCAAATATACTGCAACCGCATGTGCGTGCACACTTTTTCCCTTTTATAAGCTGAAAATGTCTAAGCCTCTTAGCTATCAAACAGAATATTTTAGGGATGGTAAGTAACACAAATTAATTTTTAAGTTCCAGGAAAATGTGGATTCTGTATTATTTCCAGGCAATAAAACATCAGGCAAACTCCCCTGCGGCTTTTAGCTATTCCCTTACAGCACGAGGAATGCATGCATGCAGTCTTCAGCCGGCTATGGAGGAGGCCCCTTGTATTTCTAATCCCCCAATAGTTTTCTGCAAGCCAAATGTGTGCATGGCAGTGGGTGGGGGGGTCTTCACCCACTGATCCTCCACCCAAACATGTTCATCACAAATTCAAGCCCAAGGGGATATTCTCACACAGAGAACCCCCTTTGAAAATCTCAGTCATGATCAGAGCTTTGGGAAATGTGCAATTTATTTCTTGCATCCCTTTGACTTGTGTAGTTCAATAACCTGGGGCATTTTTTTCTGCCTGTCCCCCAGAAGGGAGTTGGAGGCAGACTGCCAGAAGTGCTTTCCTCCAGCTCGCATATTCACGAAATGCCAAGCAGCATCTCCCCCTAAAAGAGCTAAGAGGAAGATAATGTGAAACTTGCAAGAATAGATTATTTTTGCCAAAAAATATATCACTTGAATGGGCCTTGGTTATATCTTCCTAATAATATAATGTGGAGGTTTGATGTTAAAGGATTTCTGCATTCAGCAGTGCAGAATTGAAATGCTACCTTTTCATATGCCTTAATGTGCAATGATCTTGGGCTCACAGGAATGGTGTGATTAATTTTAAATGGCTCATTTTAGTAATGAAGTTGCATGTGTTTACTCTCAGGCCCATTAAAAAGATGGCAACCGGCATGATCCTTGCGGGCTTGGCATTCGCAGCTGCAGCTGTTGTAGAACTCAAGATAGAGGTAGGTAAGCACTGATTATCTGCATGTGAGGAGGTAGACTAACAGGTTGCTATGCTGATAAAGTAGTGGCCATTCTTCTAACACGTTCTACATTATTGGCTTGTGAAGACATGTTTAAAAAGAGAGCCAGGTTATAGGTTCTAATTCTGCAACCAATGCAGAATGTAATGAATCAGCATCAAGTGATAACTGATCTGATGCACTGGGATCAATAATAACTGGAATTCATGGAATCCCCATGCCTATGTTGTTGGCATAATGATCTTTCTTTTAATTAGGAAAATGCGATGCCAGTGCCAGCTCCCAGAGAAAGTTACATTCAGGTCCTAAATTTGGCCGACAGCAATATAGAAGTGGCAATCCAAGATTATGACTTATCATGGCAGCCCATCAAACCTTTCCAGGTGAGTTTTCCTTCTTGTTTTACAGCAACTCATCCAGAGTGCTGGTTCCATTCTAGGTCAAAAGACACATTCAAAACAAAGATGGATATCAAGCACATGCAAAATCAGTTTGTTTCATTCTGGCACACTCTCAACACGGTTCCTTTGTCCATTGTCAGGCATTGTGCGATGGTTTCTGTATGACAAAGGAAGCACAAACCCCTTCATATGTTCAGAGGAACAAGAAAATGTGACCTTCTTCCCTCTGTGTCTCTCCGGCCATATGGAGTGGTGGCAATGCGTCTACAGGGCAGTGTGCCTTTGACAGTAGCCCCTCCTTTCCCAGTGCATTTCAACAGAAAAGGCACAGATGGTGGACTATATTTACTTATCATTAGGAAAAAGGTTAATTCTTCTGGGATAAATGTGTGCCAGAAAAAGACCCTTTATACGATCTATGTTTCCCGCTGCTCATGTTGAAGTAGCATTTAAGCTTGGTTCTGAAAGGTGCATGCTTGAAGAGGAAAAAAGAAAAAGAATATGCATGAATATACAGAACAGGGTCATTGACTTTAAACTCTCTTTGAAAAGGTGTTGCTCTCCCTTTTTTGTAGTTCTAAGATTATGCCATGGAACTCAAGTGTGCGGTGGCTCTCTCATTTAAGGAGGGGGTGCAGGTGATGCCATAATCCAAAATATTTTTATTGCTTTCACTCAGCTCCCTGGTTGGTTGGTTTTAAAACTCAGGCTACATTAAAAAGGTGTGAGCTGAAACCTCAACCTGTCCTTTTTCTTGCCTCCCCCATCCACACCATCTTCTGAATATGTGCATCCCACTGATTTTTTGACACCCCACTTGTTGAGAGCTGGCAGAGTGGGGGGACTTGGGGACTGAATGTGCTTCTGCAGACTCTGTAACTGACACGTTTTGTTAAGTCACTTTTTTGGCAAATCCAGTTCACTTCATTGGCAAATGCTTGCATTCCATTTTCTGGTTTTCCCATTCATTTTTGTTAAAACTGGTTTGGGATTCTTGGGGAGAGGAGGGTATAAAATTCAACTGTGGTGCCAGGAGAGGCTTTGAGACACCAGAACTGCCAAGGGCTCCCTTCTTTAGAAGACCTGTTTCCTTCTTGCTGCTTGTCCTCTTTCATGACTTCCCCTTGATGGATGATAATTGAAGATAATTGCTCCTTGAACAGCCTCCCTTAACTGCCCCTTATTGTCAGTTTTTATACTCATGGGCGGCAGGAGCAAGGAAACTTAAATATTGATTTCTTCCATGATTAATTTTTTTTGGATATGACCTGCACCATGAGGTTGGGAAATCCCACCATGGTCATCAAAGAATTCGTGTGGATTCTGGGTTGCAAAACCAGAAGCAACAAAACTCAGTACAGATACTGCCTAACCACAAAAATGGGTTCTGTGTGGGAACAGCAACCAGTTCCTTAATTCTTTTTTTTAGTAAGTTTTATTCTTAATAGACCTAACAAAAAAGGAACTAAAAAGTCATTAATCATCAAAAACATCAGACCTCCTGGGTCAGCCCCCCACATTTTTTCTGTTTATGTTAAACTATAAACATATTTAAATCTATGCATAGTCCTGTTTCTCTAGCCAATGATAAAAAGAGTCCCAAGTTTGACAGAAGTTTGTATCGTCTTTCTCCTTCAGAGACAAAGTCAATCTGTCCATTTCTGCACAGTCCAAGATCTTTTTTAGAATCAGTTCAGTTCCTTAATTCTTCAAGCAACCCCGTTAGTACCTTTTCCTTCCTACCCCCTGCTTTGGAACCTTCTGGTATTTATTGTTTTGCTTTTTTTCCCCTCCAACCACTCCGTCTAGCTTCACTTTTCTCCTGCTTCATCCACCTTCTGTGTACCCAGACCTGTCCCATCTAACCTTCTTGTTGTTTCTCAGTGTTCCCTGGCCACTTAAAGAGCCCTTTCTCTTAATTCTCCTTCCCTTTACACTACCTGTGGCTTGTTTGTATGGCTAGGCAATTGGGGAATGCAGGGGATCTGGCAGTCACCCTCAGTGGCTCCTGTCAGCTCTCCAGAGAACTTTAGTTGAGGTTCAGCAACAGAAAGACAGTAATAACTCCATGCCCCATTCCCCTCTCTATTTTGCATTTTTATTTCTATAATTTGTACCCTAACTTCTATCAAAAATTGGCCCTCAGGGAAACTTGCAGGCACATTTGAAATTGATTAAAACAATAACAAAATATATTGAAATGCAATAATGTGTAACTGTTACAGAATAAAACATAAAAATAAAGAACAGTACCCAACTCAGTACACCCACTTACAGGCAAAAACCTTCATGAAAAGAGCGGTCTCTGCTTGCTAGCAACAGGACAGCAGAGGAGGAGTGAATCCAGCCTCCTTTGGGAGGAAATTTCACAGCTTGGAAGCAACCACCAAAAAGGCCCTCTCTTGGATCACCACATGCATCTCAAAAAGTGATGGTCTTGAGAGAAGAGTCCCTAGCAGATCATAAGAACTGCTTGTGCAGCAGAAGTCGGTTGCAAACCATGCAGGGTCATAACCAGCACCTGCTCTGACAAAATTGTTTATTTTGGTATTTGTTTCTTCATTACAGAATGAGAATGTATGTTTAATTATTCCCTTTCTTTATGCTTAGGACCCTACTGAATACTCCAAATTAATTCTGAGTAGTGACCAACAAATCCTTCATTTTAAGATACAGTACCAAGGATCGACTTCCACATTTAGTCATACTGTCCAGGAAAAGTCTGTGAATAGCTTAGTGGTCTACAAGGTAAAAGGAAGCCTAGCAAGCCATCTGGTAAGTATGGAAACCAAATGGGCGGTGAAGTCGAATATCTGGAAAGCATCCAATGAAGCATTTGCTGCAGGAATGGGCCAGAATGCTCCTCAGGGACCAGTGAGGCATGGTGAATGATTGCAGGGGGTGAAGCCATGCTGATGCCCTTTTGCCTTTCTTGATACAGATAAAGGCACGAAGTTCTCTTTGTACCAAGAAAGGTACTCAGCCAGGTCTAGAGAAGTGACTCCAGCAGATGTCATCTGGGTTGAGTGGCTCTTTATGGTCTACACTAAGGGGAATAGGACACCGCAATGTGCTTGGGTGGCATTTGAGGCAACTCCCCCAGGCACCAGCTGCATCACTGAGTTCACCTACATTGTGTTGTCCTGACCAGGGCACTAGCCAGTTTTCCAGAATCATAGAATACTAGAGTTGGAAGGGGCCAGGAAGGCCAGCAGGTCCTTGGAGGTCACCAAATTATACCATCCTACTCAAATGGCTGTCCACTTTCTTTTTTAATGTCTCAGGTGTGGTAGAGCCTACAACCTTTCTAGGCAACTGGTTCCACTGATGTATTGCCCTGACAGCAAGGAAATGTTGCTCGATATCTGGGTTGTTGCAACTTGAATTAATTTTTCCATGTCCTACACATCAGTGAGAAGAGATCTTGACCTTCCTCTTTGTGACAGCCTTTGAGGTATTTATAAAGGGATAACATGGCCCCCCTCAGTCTTCTTTTCTCAAGGCTGAACATGCCCATTTCTCTCAGTCTCTCCTCATAAGGCAGTACTACCAAACCCTGAATCATTTTTGGTGCCCTCCTTTGGACCCTTTCCAATTTTTCTGCAACTTTATTAATCTTGGAGCCCAGAACTGGACACAGTATTTTAGAGAAGGTCTGACTTGTGAAGAGTATGGGGGAAGTATTACTTCTTGTGATTTGCAAGCAATACTTCTATTAATGAATCCCTAAATAGCATTTGCCCTTTTTGTGGCTGCATCACATTCTTGTCTCATGTTTACCCTGTTGCCCCCAGTAACTCCAAGATCTTTTTCCTTTTCACTCCTGCTGAGCCACAAGTTCTCCATCTTGTATCAATGCATTGACTTGCTTTTTCCTAGGAGGAGGACTTGGCATTTGTCCCTATTCTTGCTTTCAGCCCAGCACTCAAGTTAAAGGCTCACTCAACTTTAGGGCTCATTCAACTTTAGGGCTCATTCAGACAGTGTCTGGTGAGGGCTTCTACAGGGACTGTCTGAGCTGCTGGCCTTTGCTTGCCAGTCACCACTTTCGCTTCTGTGGTGAACAGGACCTAAGCAGAGCTCCTCTGAGCACTGACTGAGTCACTGGCTTTGTCTGCTTTATCATTGTCCTGACTAAAATGAGAGGTAAAACTGGATGCCACTTCATCCAGCTGATGATCTCTGACCTGTGATAGGAGGTAACAGTGGGGTTTAACATGGAAGGATCTCCTCTTTCCAGGTAAGTTGTGTGCTTCAAGTAATCCACGGTGTTAATTAGGATTCCTAGACGGGGTGCAGCTTAGAGGTTAAGCCCCACACATGGAGAAATCCAAGGCAGCCTGTAGGCCAGATGAGGAACTCCTGCAGACCAGTTTAGGCCTGTAACCCAGACATTCCCCATCCTGGCTGTATTGGGATTTCAAAGGAGAGATTCCAGTTCTGTTGTCTTATTTCCTGGCAACAATCCAGCAGAAAGCATAAATAGGCCCCGCCTGAATGTTCATTATCTCCAATTACAGGAGGTTAGGATTTGCAGCCATATGTTGGTTCTGGTAGACGGGGTAGGAGCTTGTCTCATGGATGGAGCTAGAAAGGCATCACTGCCCTTCAGTGAAAAGCCACAGTGCCATCAGTAAGAGGTAGACAGGACCATCTGCTTAGACAACATGGCTATATAGGTAAAGTCTATTAGCTTTCTCCCTGCCTGCTCTCCATCAAAGCCCTCTGGACCACCCAAAAGTTTGCTTCAGTGGTTCCCTGTCCTCTGGAGCAGATGCTGAGGGTGCCTGGGCTCTATGTTTCGAGGGGGACATCACCCCCTTCCAGTTCAACTGACAAAAACTGCTTCTGATGGCAGAATAGCAATGTTGGATGCAACCCATTATTCCTCTCAATGTTTTTACAAGTAGTAATGCATCTGCTGTCACGTCTGCTGGGTGGTTTTATGACATCTGAGCTGCTAGACCTAGTTTAGACTGCCAAATGTGGCAGTTGGAGAGAAGAATAAAGCCTACTGAATTACAAAGCCCTAGAAAGTTAGTAGCAGATGAGAAGAAATGTCCTTCAAGAGATTGTCCTATAAAACAAAGTTTACAGAGAAGCTTCAGAAGGGTGATGGGATAAAGCAATTCAATGATGCAATATATGTATTACTTGTTTTAGGAGTTCAGAACAGAAGTTGCCAAAATAATCATGCCAAAAACTATCAAAATGATAAGACTTTCATTTGGCCATTTGGGGATGGTAAAGCTCTTTCAATTTTTTGTTAATGAGTTGCCACTTTGAAAACAAACCATATTTATTTTAGTAAAATCACTCCCCATTTTTATGGCAGATGCAGCAAATGAAGTAAATTTTCTAGCGACATTTCAGCTAAATTAAGACTCTTTGCTAATGAACAGACCAGTCATTAAGCTGACAGAATAGGCCAGATGATTGAGCCATCTCCGATCTTTCAACATATGCTTGGGCAAAGTCTTAATGAGGGAGCACCTTTCCATTCTTTCCATTCTTTTCTGCACCCTGTGGATCATAGGGGTATGAGACACCCTGGAGAACGAAATCAAGCCAAAATAAAAGGGTCAGACTGTATGATGCTGAAGTCCTTGAATTAAAGACTAACCAATCCGTAAGGATAATCGTATTAGAATTAGTCTACCTTTGTGTGCTTTTCCTCTAATCATCCCAAATGTAAAGGCTTCGCCCACCCTACCATGCAATTCCAGATGAGGTTTCTATCGTGACATTGCCCACTTTATTCACAGAATCTTTCAATAGGTCCAAATGACAACTTCCACATAACCCTCCTGTGCTTTCCTGCTGCTTCTTCCATCTTTTGTCTTACCACAGAAAATCTATGAAGGAGAAAGAGACTGAATAGGCAAATCAGTAAGAATGTACAAATCAGCACCTCTCGACCTTTCTTCAAATTCCATCTCAAAGCTTACTCTGAGATGTCCTTATCAGTTTGTGAACTGGCAAGAAAATCTGTGTATTTGCTAGTGTGCCTTTTTCCAGAGGGGAAAAGAGTGTATTCCTCTCCCATTGATTAAAGCGTATTTGTGTGCATTTTCAAAAGTATGCATTTTTTCATGCACACTTTTCTGGTACATGCCTGCTGTCAAACACAATTTTTATTGTCTGCAATTGGCACTGACACTCAGTAATGTGCAGATTCTGATCATTTATTTATTTTTAAATTTATATCCTGCCTTTTTCCTACAAAGGGCTCAAGGCAGCTTACATCATTCTCCTCCTCCATCTTATCCCCATAACAACAACCCTGTGAGGTAGGTTGGGCTGAGAGTCTGTGACTGGCCTAAAGTCACCCAGTTGGCTCCATGGCTGAGCGGGGACTAGAACCCGGATTGTCTGAGTCCCAGTCCCACGCTCTTAACCACTACACCACACTGGCTCTCCATCATGCATTGTGTTTTGAGTCTGTGCTCCTTCTGGAAGGTGCAAAATGAATGAATTCTGCTAAAAGCGTATGGAAATTGATTTTTCATACAGTCCTACTACAGAACGCCTTTTGATTTGCAGCATCAGGAGTCCTCTGTCTGGAAACATCCCTAGAGAGTTTTACAAGAAATTAAGGTATTTCTTTGCCAACAGATTTTCTTTCCAGGGCCCATGTCTCTTGACTTCACCTGGCTGCTTGCCACTACCGTGGGTCTTTCCTGCCTCCCTTTCCCATGCTCTTATGATGCAGAATGTGAGCCTTCACTGCTTCCAGTCTTAAGATCCTGCAGAGGCTGCACCCAGGTGCCAAGCTGATGTTATACAAAGCTCTGCTTTACTGCCCTTCCCTCAGCATCCCCTTTTCACTTGTAGAACAACACAGAAGTCAATTAAACAACTTCTTTTCTGCTTTCAGCCCTATTGTTTTACAAGACTTTTCATGGGATTCAGGAAGGGAATGGGTTCAATAACATCTCAGTTTATTTGATGGCTGCACAGCCTCCAATGAAAAATTTATCAGTGTCAGTCAGCACTGATAACTGGCTGGATCCACTAGTGGGATGCTAATCAGGCTGAATTCATTATCAGGGGAATGCAGTTGTTGACCATTTGCAAGCAATTTGTTCATTATTAATCATGTGTAACTACTATTTATTTTACAGCTTACTGTCTGTTTACCAGTATACATATATCCACCATAGTACTCCGAGGCATTTTATAGGCATGGGAGAAAAAAAAGGGGGAGAGGGGAGAGAAGAAGGCATAGTCTAAAAAGTGTTGCAAATAAAAGAACGAAACCTGTAAATAAATGTCCCACTCTAGGATTATTTGGTTGGATGTTTATTACTGCCCTGTTAGGTGTGCTTACAGTGCCCACACAGGGGCATGCTCAGGAGTCTTATAAGGAGACAGCACTGAACACCCTCCCCACTAGCAATGAGCAGCTGAAGAAATACTGCTCAGATGTGTGAAGTTGAGGCTCGCCTGCATTTCTCAGTCCTTTGCAAGAACGAGTGACAGGGCCAGTGAGATGTTTCCCCACATATCCGTCCTGCATCCTTGTCCCCTTCACCTTTAACAGCGACTCAGCCAAGCCCCTCTCTTTCCTTCCACATCCCCTTTCTGAAACAGCATGAGCTGCCATGCTGAGATGATAAAATGCCTGCTTTACCAACTCAAGGTCACAGAAAGTCTGTGAAATGTTCATTTATTGTTTGCACTCAATATGAGAAAATAAAGCACTCTGTATGCCCCTAGAGGTCCTGTAGACCTGTAGAGTTTAGGATCTGTTGGCAGATCTCTGGCTGATTGCAGCAGATCAGCAAGGATTTCTGGCCCCAGACATTTAACAATAGCAAATTAAATGGAAGGCTGAAACAAACAAACAAAACCTGTTTGCCACAGCTGGCAAAGGTGCATTGTTTGCCTTTAATCCTCAATGCTATTCACCAGTAAAACATACAAATTATTTTTGCTGATGGCTTAATGCAGCCCCAGTAGAGCCACTTAAAACTTCAAAGCCAGTGTGCAGAAGTGGATGGAGGGCTGAACTGGGGATCCAGGAGATCTGGGTTCTAGTCCTCACTCCATCACAAAGCTCTTTGGGAGACTTTGGGCCAGTCACTCTCTCTCAGCCTAGGCTAACTCACATGCGTCTTGTAGTGAGGATAAAATGGAGCTTGTGAGGATGCCATGGGATCCTCACAAGAGGAAGAAAAGGTGGGATATGAGTGCCATGTAATAACAGTAGTAATAACGATGCATTTTGAGATTTCTGTAATAGAAGCCCGAATAAATAGCAGTCCAGGGGAGATTTGCATCCACAGGACAGTGTTTGGCTAATGACAAGCACTGACTCTGCTAAGGATGCCCTCTTGCACTGCTTCGACCTGGCTCTGGGTTACCTTAGTAGGATGAGTGCAGTAGGACTTCAAGCCCCAGTTCTGCCCATCCTTGCTCTGGACATCTGGCATTCGATGGATTCACGCCACTCATTCAACAGGGTGTCCACATAACGGGGCACACGGTGCAGCCGCCCACTGGGGATGGCCTAACTTCTGGGGAGCCTGCAGCACAGGCAAAGCGCAGGCAGCCGCCATTTGGAATATGCCGCCTCCACCTGCGGATTGCCATGCCATGCAAACCTGGTGAATCCGAAGGCTATGTGGAGGTTAAACAGGCTCGCATGATGCAAGAACCCCAAGCCAGGGTTGCCTATTCAGAATGGTGCCCATGGATGGCACAGCTCAATTGAAACTAATCTCTGTGCGCTTTTCCCTCCCCGTCAACATCATTCATGTTTTGATTTGCAGTCTCTTGGCTTCTTGGAAATCCTTAATAGAAAGAGAAATTGCACATTGATTTTGTTTTTCTTTGGTTCCAGATTAAAGACATGGATACAAAGCCATCAGAAGGAATGACAGCCGTGAGGTGGGAACTGGCTTTGGGTGTTCCGTTTCTTGGCAGTTATAGTTCCATGGTTTGACAGGAATGGTTAGCCCAGGCTTAGCCAGAGCTTGGATCTCCTCAGTACATTTTGAGGGTGGGCTGTACATCCCGAGGGGGCAGAAGGGGGCAGTTGCACTCATCTCCTGCTGGTGGCCTTTCCATACATGTCCGGTTAGCCACTTTGCAAGCAGGGTACTCCACTTACATTCTTAAGTTGTGTTCATGTATGGCAGTTACATTTCCCATGGCTAGATCCATTGACAACCACTCAGGTAGTATACAGGCAGGAAGAAATAGGAAGAGGTTATTATTAGCGAGGCAATGGCCATAGAGGAAGGGTTCTTCCAAGTCCCTGCTGGCAGGAAATGCAAGGCTGGAATGAGGCAGCACTGGCTGGCAGCAGCACTGTGTAGGTGTCCAGCTGCTGACTTGTGAGAAGATCCCACCACAGTCTGCAGTGCGTTCTCCTAGCTGGCCAGCCACGGCCACACCATTTTGCCCACGGTTAAAGGCCTCAATGTACCTCTGCGTTGTTGCTGCTTCTCTTATGTTGCTCTACCATTCATACTATGTTAACATTCCCCCCCCCCCCATCTACACCATTGGTCTATGCAGCAAACACGAAAGGTGTGAAGGACAGAATACGTGCATTTCTAAAATGTAGGATGCACATAGGCTGCCAGCACAGCTGTAACCCTGAGAGTTTAGGAATGTATATCTGCTCGACAAATTTCCCAAGTTTCCTGCAGAGAAGAATGTAAATGTGGCAAACATGATCACCAAGCACAGCAGCTCTGAGATAAAGCGACAATAGTCTTCCTTCAGTCTTCTCTGGATGGTTTTAGAAATGGTTCTTCTAAAGTAGTCTAAGTGAAAAAAACCTGGACTGAGTCAAATTTTCTCAGAAAAGAACTTGACCATTTTGATTAAAGCAACCACCAAAAATAGCTCTTCCTGAGGAGAATTTCATTGCTTTCCTGGAAAATGCATTGACCATCCATTCATTTTGGGTGCGATTCTAGAACTAGTTGTGACATTGCCCAAAGAAGAGAAGTGTCTGGGTCCTACCCTTCCATTGCTCATCTCCAACCAGTTGCTTTCTTCTTCCACCAATTAACAAGCCGTATTAGTTATTTCTTCCAGAGAATTTCTATAACCTTTTGTATTACAAAATCTAAAGCAATCCACAAGATACAAAACTAGGTAAAATTTGATAAAACCAGCCAAAATTCCATAATACAACTGTAATAGAAAAAAAAATAAAATTATCTGGGTACCTGGCAATTCTAGTGGTTGGCAAATGTCTAGATAGATGTCTTAGGTTGTCAGTGGTGGGCAGAGCATTCCTCATTGTGTGTGCATGTGCTTGGGGGTGGGTGCAATAGAGAAGTCCAAAATATCTGGAAGGCACCAGCTTGGAAAAGGCTACTATAAATATTTATGGCTATTTATTCCAGATTTATTAATACTTTGGACCTGGATGTCAACATCACTCTTGTCAGTGAGGAATTTGTCAGTGTTAACAAAAGTTATGGTGTTTCAGACTACAGGTTCCTCTCAAGGGGAAGGTGAGATTCTATTAACATTTCTATGGTCTGAACTAACTTCCATTTCTTTTCCTGGACTCATTGATATCTCTGGAACATTCCCTAAGAAATTTGGGCCTTGTTTGTTAGGTGCTACTGGTCCAGCTTCCTCAGGTATGTCTTCATTCAGTATAGTTTTCAGTGCTCTTCCTGTTCAAGTCATCAGATGGGGAAAATATGCACTGGGAACAGGCTAAGCTAGGAAACTCAACAGATCCACTTCAAGAACTCCACCAAGTTAAAGAATGAAGGTCACATGGACCTTTCTCAACTAACAATGACTACATGGAGTACCCATAAGTGATCATGCAGATCCATGTTGGGACTAAGCACAATCAGTGCCATAACAGTGCCTTTGCCATAACAACAGAAATGAGGAATGTGTGAGGCACCTGCTTTGGGGATGGGGGTCTGTTGGAGTCTCTGGCTTTGGGTCGCTGGACTCTGGCCAGCTTTCTTGTGGCTATGCATCTGACTTCCTGGTACGGACTCTGAATGTTCACATGACACTCCTCAAGAACTGAGCCCTATGTGAACACTGTACAAGCAGCATCCCTCTTCCATGCACAAGACTTTCAGCCTTTGATGTGGAAGAAGGTTGTCTGTTGCACAATCGGACTTTGCAGTTTGCAGACTGCTTCTCGGTTTGGCTGGCTTTCCAGGACAGGGCCAAACACAAGAGGAAGTCCACAAAATGAAGAGGGGTGGATTCTAGGGAGCTTTGTTGCAGCCCTGGTTAGAACTGACTGCACTGATGCTCTTGACAAGGATGAGGAACCCATAGCTCAGTGGTGGAGCACACATCCTGCATGAGGAAGAACCCAGATTTAACACCCAGCAGCATCTCCAGTGAAAAGGATCAGGTAGCAGGTGGCATGAAAGACTTCTGCCTGCAACCCTGGGAAGTCACGGCCAGTCAGGGTAGACCTGGCTGGAGACAGCTGGGCTAGACAGTGTACCCTGTGACAGTCAGCCTCCTGGGAGGAACAACGGGAGCTCCACTGCTCCGTGCTCTTTTCAGGTATGCCTAGCGGGGAGTTGTGTTCTGCACTGCTGTCTCCGGCTGTGCCGAAAGTTCTAACTTTGACTCAGCCTTCCCTTCACTGTTGATAAAGAAGAGAATGAGGATGGGGAGAGATTATTAATTGCATCTCACTGCTGCTTTCCTCTTTTGGACCCACCCGGAAATCTAGGTTATGGTACTAGCCCTTATGGTGCCTGCAGCTGCAGTCCTTACAGGCAGGTAAAGGGAAAGCAGGTGCAAATAATTCCAGTATGGCTTTCTGCTCCTTCCACAGCTCTGCCTCTGCCCACTGCAACCACTAGAAGGGATACAAAGGACTGTGGTTGCACTGAAAGGCATGTTTGGAGCTGTGTGTGAAGCTGTCTTGCACTGAGTCAGAGCACTAGTTTAGGAGCTCCACAAGCTCCATGTTCTTTATAAGTGGTGCTCCTCAAGATCTTTTAATTATATGGTACCCAGACTGGAAGCTGCAACCTTCTGCCTGCCAAGCAGGTGTCCCTCCACTGAACTACAGTCTTTCCCCAAGAAAAATGCATGCGTCATGCATCCCATTTGCCCCCATTATTCTACTCTGCGTAGAGAATTTGTGTAGGAGAGAGGACCCTGTGGCCCTGCAGATGGTGTTGGACTACATCAGTCACAGTCAGCATGACCAGTGGTTGGGATGATGGGAGCTGTAGTCAAACCACATTCAGAGGTCATAGGTTCCCACCCCAGCTTCCTATTTTACATAGTTCTTGCTGAATCAGTCATTCCAAACAGCTCTTGTGGCAAATCTGTACAGAACCTTCGCATCTGGATAAACCAGCCTGTATGAAAGTTCCTTTTAAGACCTGCATGTGTGTATCAGAGAGTGAGAGAGGAGCAAAAACTGGGCCACTCTGAAAGCCCACTAATGTATTAAATAAATAATTTAAAATGTTGTAAACAGATTTAAAGCTTCCATTAGGCTCCATAAATGAGGGAGCCAGAATATATACATATGCACACTCAGAATATATGAGAGAATGATTTAACCTGAATGAAAGCAAGTGCTGGGAAATATCACAAGGAAACAAACAAGGAAAGGATTCAACAGTGCTGGCCATTTACCATACAATGTTAAATAAATTCTGATTAGTGTCCTTCAGTTGCTCCTAAAAAAAAAGCAGTGAAGGTTAAAACACTTGCACTTAAAACAAGGCTGGAAATATGGGTTATTCATTGCCCCAATCATCTTGAATGGAAAACTTTGTAAGGAGCTGTGCCCTCTGCTTCTTGACTGTGAGAAACTAACCAGGAACTGCTGTTTCCCCCTTTCCTGTCAAGGTACAACAATGCAAAATGCCAAACAGGAGCAGAGGAATCCACCTTGCACCTGGGCCTCCTTGATTTTGGAGCTTCATACACAGTCATCATAACAAATGTAAGTTGTCTTTTCAGGTGTGCATGCCCTTTCCATCCCCTTTTCAGGCTCCTGACCATGGGACTGCTGGTGTTGGTCCCTAATGAAATTACATTGTTTGGTTCAATGCAAGTTGAAAGTCTCAGTGACAAAGAAAGAAGCCATATGAGACATGCAAAACATGTGCCTTGTGTTCATATTGTTATGCAAACACATTGCATGACCATTCAAGCAAAAACTTCCCATTCATCCATTGGGGTGAATGGGGAAGAACAAGGCCATCCACCTTCCACTATCAACAGTGAGACTCTGGCTAAAATGTGGAGCACATTTGCTTGGGAATAACCCCACTGATCATCCACGGGACTTGCTTTTGAGCCAGGTTCAATTCAAAACAAAACAACTTTCCTGAATGGCCCAGCGCATGAAGCCACTGGAGCTGCCATCTTAGTTTCCCCAGAAAGTCTCTGGGCTCCTGCATGCGACCCAAAAACATTCTGGGAAAGTTGAGAAGACAGTTGCTGCTGCAGCCACATTGACTGGCACATCAGTTTTCAGCACCAGGCTCCCACCAGTGCTTGTCCCTGCTGACACTTGCTGTGGCACTGCCGCTCCCTGCACTACTCCCTAGGGGGCAGACGATGTCTTGCCCAGGGCCCACTCAGACCTGGGGCCAGCCCCGATAGCTTGCACTTCTAGAAGAACTTAAGTCTGACTGCATTGTGTCCAGTCTTGATTCTCTTCTTGACAGAAGTGGCAATGCCCTTTCTTTCATTCTCCAGCCACAGACATTAAGTTGTTGTTTTCTTGGTTGCTCTGTATTTTGGAAACTGGAAGGAGGGTGGCAGACTAAGGCTATAATCCTATGCCTGCTCAGGACGAATCATAGAATAGTAAAGTAGGAAGGGGCCATGCAGGCCATCGAGTCCAACCCCCTCCACTGAAGGTAGCAGGGCTTCTTCCCGGATAGATATGCATTGGATTGGGTTGCAAAGCTATCATTTTGCAACCCAGTCCAACAGAGATGGGAACAGAGATGGCTGGACATTTCATTTATTTATTCGATTTGTTTGAAGGCTGCTCATTAGCATTGTGCTCTCTGGATAGTAATCTGTATTAATGGATAGACATATTGGTAGATAGATACAATTGCAGAATTTATCTTGGGAAAATTAATTTCTGACTTTAACGGTTAATAGCAAGAAAGAGGACCAAAGGCCACTTGGCAAAAACTTAAATTTCACCCATAAATCTTGAGGCTCTGACAAAGATGGTCCACTCCCCACCCCCTTTTCCTCAATACTTCATCATTTGTGATCCACAGCTCTGTAAACTGCTTCCTGCTTCTCAGGACAAAATTTGTGCCTGGCTAATCTGGCTGTTTTGTTCTCTCTGGTCAAGAAGCCAGTCCTGCTGTTTTATTCCCCCTGAATCACACATTTATCCATCACTGATAAAACCCATTAGAGATGGATGGCAAGCAGATCCCCTTGCTCTAAGGTGAAGACCGTCCATTTCAATAGATGCTTACAAAGAGCATATATGACAAGAGAAAGTGCTGTGTTGTACTGTACAGACTGGCACTTCCACACCATAAAGAGGGAGACATCAACAGCTCTGAATTGTCATGGAGCTCCCAGTCCTATGTCAGGATATCTGCCACCTGCTCCCATGTCAGTGCCTTTGGAGGCAAGTCCCAATGAGTTCAGTACGGCCTATTCTGTGGTATCTGCTGCCCTTGAGAAGTTGTTGTTAGTCGTGAAGTCGCGTCTGACCCACACGACCCCATGGACAACATTCCTCCAGGCCTTCCTGTCCTCCACCATCCCCCGGAGTCCACTTAGGCTCACCCGGACTGCTTCAGTGACTCCATCTGGCCACCTCATCCTCTGCCATCTCCTTCCTCTTTTGCCATCTATTGTTCCCAGCATTAGGCTCTTCTCCAGGGAGTCCTTCCTTCTCATTAGGTGGCCCAAGTATTTGAGTTTCATCTTCAGCATCTGGGCTTCTAAAGAGCAGTCAGGGTTGGTCTCCTCTAGGACTGACTGGTTTGATCGCCTTGCACTCCAAGGGACTCGCAGGAGTCTCCTCCAGCACCACAATTCAAAGGCCTCAGTTCTTCGGCACTCAGCCATCCTTATGGTCCAGCTTTCACAGGGAGTCAGCTGCATTTAAATCACTGGGACTTACTTCCAAGAATACATATGGTGACATGTTATCCTGCAACAATGAATACCTTTCCCTTGAGGGGAGACACTGATTGTTGTAAACAGTAGAAATTAGAATCTAAGAGGAACTTGAAAGGAGTCCTTCTGAAAAAGGGCAGAAGCCCATATAGTCCCAGGTCCCACAGTGGCCAGCCCGATGTTTCAGCAAAGTTCATAGCCAAGGGATAAGGGCATCCAGTTTTACCCTGTTGTTGCTTCCCAGCAAGTGGTGCTTCCATATAGCCTAACTACCCCGCCCCTGTGCCAAAACAGTTTTTTCATTGTAAATTTCAACTAAAAAAAAATTGGTCTTTTCCAATGGGTCCTTCCTTCTCATTAGGTGGCCAAAGTATTCAAGCTTCAGCTTCAGTGTTTGTCCTTCTAGAGAATAGTCACGATTGATGTCTTTTAGGATTGACTGATTTGATCTGTTTGCAGTTCGAGGGACTCTCAGGAGTCTTCCCCAACAGCACTATTCAAAAGCATCAGTTCTTTGGTGCTCAGCCTTCCTCATGGTCCAGCTCTCACAGACATATATTACAACTGCGAAAACCATACATGCATTAGAATATAGCAATTTCAATTGTTATAAGTGAACTGTAATATATGTACGAATATATATACATATGTAAGTATATATGAAAAAGTAACTGTCTAGAAAATTATATATAGACTTCAAAGGCAGACTAGATATTCACCACATATGAAACAATTGGTGGGTGGTGTCATAATCATCATGATTAGTAGCCATTGATGAATCCATCCTTCCTGAATTTGTCTAATTCCCTTTAAAGGAATTGAAGCTACAGGGCATCACCATGACATGTCAGTCAATGAAGCGAGGAAGTACTTTTGTATGTGTCTGAAATCTAGTGCCAGTTAATTTTGCTGGATGACTCTATACACTTTTGCCACACTAAGAATATTTTTCATAAACTTGTCCCATTTCCCTCTTCAGCTCCCATTAGGCCTAAAAGCCACAGACTCACAGCCTTTCCTTATAGGAAGGGTCCTCTTTCCATGATGCAGAAATGAGCGGATACATACTGTCCCAGCCATCGTCTTGGCAAACCTGCATCCCCCTACTGTGCATAAAATCAACAATCCCGTTTCTCACACAAGCAAAACAGGGTGGGCAAGTGTGGGTTTTCAGCCTCTGCCCATTAATGGCCAGTGGCTAGGGATAATAGGATTTGGAGTCTAAAGCACCTCAGGTTCCCTACTCCTGCTAGTATGTGAGTGTGTGAAGCAATCTTTACCTATAAATAATTACATTCCAGAGAGGAATGGTAAATGTGAAAGAGCTAATGCAGCTACATTATCTTAAGAAGTATGGGGGGGGGACCCACAAAAACCCAGCAATTTATTTATTAAAAATCATGTATTTATTTTTACATGTTCAAACTTGACTCACCTTCAGAGCACTATCCATTTGATGCAATGCACCTATTGAGATGTGTTTTCCACTGCTCAGAACAGGTTTTGAACTCGTCGATCTTGATGCCTTTTAGTACTTTTGCTGTTTTTTGTTTCTTCTACATTGGCAAAACCTTTCCTTTTGAGGATGTTCTTCATCTGGGGAAACAAAAAAAAAAGTCGCATGGGGCAAGATCGGGAGGTGGGGAGGGTGGGGAGGGTGGGGCACATGGGTCATGCTGTTTTTGATCAAAAACGGCCGAACACTCAGCTGAGCAAAATTTCACTGCCACACGTTCTTCGGTTAATCAGCCATCACGAAATAGGCAAGTGCACTGAGTCTCAAAAACAAACAAAAAGCCCTCACTGAGGTCGAACGCAGCCTCTCACAACAACCCAGCTGGGTACACTGATGCAGGTGGGTTCCTAGAACACTCCCTAGTGAGGGAAGCCTGTACTATAAGGGTTCTGCTGTCCAGAAGATAATTCCTGCTTTTTTTAGTATTCGCCCCCGCTCCCCGGTATGTATGATGTGCAGATTAAGGGAAGATCTAGATTACAGTAGGACGGCCAATCCATTGTTGATCTTTATGTGAAGAACTGTCACTTAATTTGCCCTCTTTTTTCCCCTTTTCTTGGCAGTATCTCTTCTCATTATATACTTATTTGCCCTTCTATTGATCAAGTGAATGATTTTCTCCAATTGGGACATTGCAATTAATTACATGCTTCATTCAGCTTCTAGATCTATTGTAGTTTGTGACATGTGCAAAAAGAAACCAGATGATGCACATGGCACAGTAATATGAATGAACTGCAATATGTAAATCTCTAGGGCCATTATCGTCTAGGCCCACCCTTTTGTCAGCAGCAAACTTCTTTTGAAGGTGCTTGTGACATTTTTCCATAGTCCAGTGAGTAATGCAAACAATTACTGCTCACCCCTTTTAGTTTTCTAAACCAGCCTTGTTGTTGTCTCTCTTTGTATGGTGATTAAGTGCATCTTATAAACAATTCCAACACTTTCCTGGTAAAAGCAGAATTTGTTGATGCTTTTAGTGGGACTATATTTCAGACCACCAGCAGAATTCATGACGGTTTAGTAGTCCCAAAAGGAGAACATTGGGCCTTCAGTCTTCAGAAGAAAATGTTTATTATTTATTCTGTTTCTATTTCACCCAATAGCTGAAGTTCTCTGAGTGGTCCACAGGCCACTGTAGATTCTGCATTAACATATATCCAGTAAAAATTGTGTGCCCCATCAGCTAATCAATATGCCTTCTTCCCTGCTGACTTAGACTTCTACAAAGAACCTGCAGACATGGAAGATGGAAGACATCCCTGCCAATAACGTCCACATTTCATGGCAAATTCCTCAATACATGTTAATATCAGCTGGGGAAGTGGTGTTCTCCATTACAGGCCTTGCCTTCTCTTACTCTCAGGTATAATATTTAGGATTTTGTTCATGGAGAAGGAAATCAAGCACCTAAAGGCCTTGGCACATGGGAGGGCAAGATATAAAGTTGCGCTTTCTTCCAAAGGAGCAGAGGGTAGGCTCAGTGCAGACTTGTACCACAACCCCAGCATTCACGGAGTCCGGACTTACTTGCAACTAAAACTCTATTCACACATTCTCTTACCAGAATGCATGAAGAGAGGGAGTGCTCTCGTTGTTGCACTTGTCATCTTCTGCTCCTGGGGAATGATAGCCTGCACCTCCTGCATTGATGGAGAGCCCCCACACAAGCTCCCCCCTGAAAAATTCAGGCTCCTGCTTGTACAGAGAGCCTCCATGTGTAGAGGACAATGAGTACAACAAGGAAGGAGTTGGTGCCAGAGCGTCCCCTTACTTCACACCTTGATTATGTCTGGTAAAAGAAAACCTGGTTAGGGCTGAAATGTATGACATGGCAACCAGTCTGCCCTACATATTCTGGAACATTAGCCTGGCTTGCACAGATCGGCAGTGGGTTGTGATATATGCCAATGACCATTCTGAGTATTCAAGCAGAGGCAAGTGGTCACTGCAGCTTATCATGTCATTCAAATGCTAGCACAAGCTGGGTTATCACTCTGGTTAACAAACCATCCACAACTCTCAAACATCTCATGATTTCTGGGTAGTTTGTTAATCAAAGGAACAACCCACCCTTCACTGGGATTGCATGCTATGACAAGCCACCAGCACATCCTGCAACCCACCGTGGCTTAAATAAGTCGTGTGGGGCAGCAGCATTCATGCAAGCAGGCCCATTGTGTTACCTCCCTATAGAAGGATGACACAGAGGAGCATTTTGCCAGCCATCTGATCAGACTGCCAACTTCTGTAGAGTGAAGTGGAAGCAGCCCTGCTAATTGACGCCCTGTTCACTGAGGCAGGGGGACAGCTGAAGATAGCCAGAGTCGTGCACTGTATGCTACAAGCATGCACAATCCCTAATACAGGTGTTAAAGCCACATTTGATGTTCATACCTCAGAACGCAAAACCTGATTAGCTGCAGAATTTGATTCAGGAAAAAAGAATTCGCTGAAACAAACATAATTGGGATGCTGAGGCCCATCTATGCCCATCTGTTACTCATGAGTTACTCTGAAGAAGATGGGAGAGAAACTGCCAGAGAATTAGCAGGAAAGAAGGCTCACTAGAGAAGGGTTGGGTCTACAGCATCCTAATTCCAGTGTCCCACATGAAGAATCCAGTGGCACAGGTCAATCTTGGCCACAGTTCATCGGCTTCTCCATAAACCTGCCCCCTTTTAGGAATGCCTGTTTCTCCCTGGTGCCCTAGCCCAGCTCTGGGCTTCTGCCATGGCTCTGTCCTGGCCCATTTCCTAAGGCCCTGCCATGTGCCTTCCCTTCGACTTGCTTTGTCCTCTAGCTCTAATGACATGGCTCTGCTGCAGTACTGCTGAATGTGTTGCTGCACAAGAGAACAAGTGAAAACACCGTGCTTCCTTACGCTAAGTTCTCGTGTCCTGAAAGAGATTAAAAATAAGAGGAGGGGAAGCATGATGATGTACTTTAGGCAAAGCCCTGAATTATTGCAGCCGAGACATCATCATCTGACAATAAAAAGGCGATTTAATCTGAAGTGAGCAGTATATAATAGGACCTTCATCTGATACAGAGATGGAAACTGAAGTGATTGAAAAGCAATGGTGAGATGGGACCGACTGATTCACAGGCCCTGGGGGCTTGTCTCCAGTCTCCCTTGTTCCTGAGGGCTAGAAAGAGGGCCCTCATGGGACACAGGCAGGCAGGACAAGGGAAACGATGCAGACATACGTAAGTGCTGCTGGGGGAGGTGATGGTTCTCAGGATCTCCTTGCTTCGTTGGTGCCTTCATCTGCCGTGACCCAAGGTGAGTCCACACATACATCCCTTGGTGTCTGCAGCATCAGACTGGTGCAAATGAGCCACTAGCTCTCAATCGCCTCAGGTAGAACTTCCTAATGCATTGTCTCCGAATGATATACTACTTCTCAGTGGGGTCCATTCACTCATTCCCTTGTGCAGATCACCAGGTGTTAGGACAGGTAGTCAAGCAAAAAGCCCGCACAGGTGAACTGGCCCTCGGGGCCATGGGGGATTTCTTCTTCTTCAATATGGCCAAGCTTGGTCTTGATGTTGTGTTCAGTGGGGTTGTTGAGGGGCCTTCTTGAATGGCTGTATTTATTCGGTCTCTTCTTCTTCTCCCCCCCCCCCCCCGCCTCCAGGCTCCTGCCAGCATGAAGTCTGTGCTACAAGCAGGCTGGCTATTAACGGTGGCCTTTGGAAATGTTATTGTGCTCATCGTTGCCCAGGCTGCACCTATGGAACAGGTAGGGGGTGGGATGCATTATCCACAGTGCTAGTGAATTTCATGGGTGAGTGGGGACTAGAACCCAGATCTCCAGGATCCTAGTCCAGCACTCGAGCAACTACGCCATACCAGCTCTGCACACCCTGGCTCGCCCATGGGGAGGAATAAAATCCCACTGTGAAGGGCACAGAGCTGTGCTTTGGCTTGATCAGAGCTTTTGCTTTTTGCTCCACCCCATGTCCACTAGGCATCATTTTTGATCCGCTAGGCAGAGACAGGCTGAGTCCCCTGATGAAGGGTGTTGAAAAACATCATTCAGTCCAACAAATGCTTAAAGAAACAGGATGGAACAGACTTGTGTATGAACACATGCAAAATGGACATGGTGCAGACTGATCTTTCCATCATACCCTGACCCATCAGTGGCGATGCTAGGTGCCACTGGTCTCTACATCTCCCTATCTGTCTTGGCCCCCCAGGATCAGCCCCTCTCTGCACCAGAGGGTCTAAGGCTCCAGGAACCTGGAAGTCCTACTTGGCAGAGGTGACTGGCCCCTGAGCTATGACTTCTCCCAATAAAAAATAAAGCCGAAATTGTGAGCAGCTGGGCAAGACTAATGGCAAAATGAAGCTTCCCCAGTCTGGTGTCCTTCAAATGTCTGGGGCATCAGCTCCCCTCAGCCCCAGTAAGCATAGCCAATGGTCAGAAATGCTAGCAGTTGAGGTCCAAAGCTCTGGTGCATGGCAGGTTGGGAAAGGCTGGGCTAAAGCTGCCCCTAAATCAATTTATGTTTTATAATTGAAGCACCAATGAAAGCAGCTGCAGGACCCCAGCGGTTCTTCCTGAGTGATGTGACTGTGTTCTGGAGAGCAGAGAAAATAGAAGCCCATGCTTTTTGCCAAGCAGCAACCTCTGAGTCAGGGCTTCAGGGCTGTACAAAGATCTGAACACAGACCTCTCTGGCCCAGGTAGCTCTATCTAACTGCTATAACACAGTGTTCTTTTCCTGCCCATTTTAGCACATGGGCATTTCCTATTCAAGTCTTCTCTGGAGTAAGTTCCATTGAGTTCCATGGAGCTTTTCCCCAGGTGGTACATTTAGGATTGTACCCAGGAATCTGTAGGTTCTCCCCTTGCTCCAGATGATGGTTTGTGTGGACTGAGAACCAGCACTGACCCTAGCCCTATTTGCCATTAAACCATTACAAAGTTGGACCACTACATTCCTGAGATGAAAAAGAGGTCTAATAGTTCTAGACATTTCCTCATTTGAGGAACAGAACATGGCCTCTAAATAGAAGGTGGTGGAAACTGAGCCCTTTCAAGTACATAGCAGCTAAATTAATATTGCTAGAGAGAGACTTAAAATCTAGGTAATTGCCTATAGTCTGATTAGAATACAAGCTTATTGGTGCTTCCTGTATATAACCCAGTAGTAATGAATATAGCAGTAACTTTGTAAGTAACTTGTAAAGAGAAGAGACATGCCTCAAAAGTAACCGATTAACCTGCGTAACAGGGAGAGAGACCACTGAGCAAATGAGCAATTAACTAATTAAGCTGTAATGCTGATGCAACAAACAGAATAGAATGCAATTAGTGTCCCTTCCAATTTAGTGTCCTTCCTCACAAATGAATAGCTAAAAATGCTATTAACGCCAGGGTATTTAGCACATGCGTTGCAACAATCTGAACCCATAACAATAGGTGTGCGTTGCTAAGAAATGTTCACAGAAAGGATGCTGCGGAGAATAGGAGATCTACTGAGACAAGATGCGCTTGACTCTGTGTGAGTGGCAGGGCCATGGAGTTATGCCTACACAAGCATTTCAAGTTCACGCACAACCCCTCTGCAGTGTGTGGGTACTCATCATTGCACAAAGGAAGACCCACATGAACCTTTGTGTGTAGGTACATATGACTGCGGAAGTTTCTATGTGATATTTGGTTGCCCCGCTCACTCACACAGCCAAATTCTCCTGTCGCCATTTTGAATCCATATGGAACTGTAAATAGCCCAACATTTCCTTGGTATAATTTCAGGCACTTGCTTATTACCATATGGATAAACCACCACTGGTGCACAGATGCAAACCTGTTTTCCATTGAATGGAGCCCCATAATCATTTTCAGATTGCGCCTGATGTAAAGTAACCACAATCACAGAATGGTTTTGATTTTTGCTTTTTAACTATTCATCTGAATGTGTTGGCACATGTAGATGTGTGTCACAAGAATAATTTTCTGTTCCCGAAGCCAATCTTTCAAAGGTTTAAAAAAATGCTAAGCCATGAGTCTCAACAAAGTGTCTGCCAGCAGATTCATCCACTTTTTTCCTTATATTTTTTTCTATATTAAACCCTGCTTAAAGTGATTCACTGCTTCAGAAGAGCTTACTTAATAAAATAAAACATTTCAAAATGAACCACTAGCAGCTGAAAGGCAACCAAGTTTAAATGATCACCCAAATATTAATACATATAAACTAGCATTAATCAGTCCACAATTAATTCACAATAGGCCTAACAATAGAAATATAAAACATTATGTAAAAAGCAGCAAAAATCATACATCTTACCTATGACTAAATCTTGCCCTAAGCAAGACCTACTAAACTAGAAGGGTCTCTAGATCTCTGACTTAGAGCAGGAGTAACTTCTGTAGCTAGAGTCAGTCCACCAAGGTCTCATCTCTTTAGGCCAGGTGGAAATAAGCCAGACAAAGAACAAGAACCAGGTCTTGCAGGACACACAACCAGATGGTTCCTACTGCACCTTCTGAACACTCAGTGCCTATGGAGAAATGTCTTGACACTCCTGGCTAGCTAATCATGTAAGTTCATCTGTTTGCTCTGCATGGGAGTTTGTTTTCTGCATCTTCACTGGCAAGCCAAAAATGAAACTCTGTAAGTAGTAGTGGATGCATAGAGGCTGGCCAAAGGTTAGGAACTGGTTGGGAGTCTTTGAAGACCAACTCCAGCAGAATTTCCAGAATTTCTTTGTGGTTATGTCTGTTCACCCAGCACTAGGCCAAAATATTTTGAGGGGGGTTTGCACACCATGGCATCTTATTGTGATGATTCACCATGAGAAGTTGGTAACCCCTCTCCTCCAAACACCCACGATGAACCCAACAGATGATCAGGCTCAGTTCGAGTGCTTCACTCTGTCCCCACTCCTTTCTCTTCATTCATTCTGGTGGTATTTCAAGGGTGTCTGCAGGGAGGAATGAGTTTCCTCTCATTCCTGTGAGGGGTTTCCATCATGCCGTGGCTGTGCTCTCAAGTACAGGGGCTGAATTTCCAACTTCAGCTGGGGCAGTGCGTCAGGGCAGCTACTACTGCAAACATTCATGACAACTTTAAGACAAGCAGCTTTGTTTTATGGCAAGGAGCCCCAACTTGGAAAGACTGTGTTTCCAAGATGCCTTGTGAGATTCCTTTGGTCCAGAGAACTGCCTGAAGGAGATACTTTGTACAGTTCTAATGCTGAAGTCCTGTAATCTGCTTGGAGGTGACACTGCCTAGGACCCCCATGTGAGCCACTCTCCTAGTACAGAGTTTAGCATCAAGTAGTTCCCACTTTGTGAGGGGACAGTGCTTCATCTGGGGGCACCCTCTGTTTCCATTCAAGTTTAGTTTAAAGATACAGAGCCATAAGAAGGGCAAGCAGGACCTGGAAGTTGCCCATCCGGTTGGCACCTGGACAGTCACCCAATCACAGCCTTCCCCACTATGGTGGGATGGATGCTATTTCTGTTGAACATAGCAATTATTTCAGAATTTGCAGCCATACATAAAGTAGCATGTGCAATTTTTGTACAACCCCGTGTCCTCTTTTTGTCCTTTTTTTGGCAATACATGTCCTTTTTTCCACCATGTATAACTGGCCACTTCCAGCTATTGGCTCCATATTGCACAGGCATGCAAGTCTGCAAATCATCCAGGAAAAATTGTCTCTCCCAACCCAGAGCATATGGGACCCTTTCAAAAATGGACCCAAAATGTGTCTCATGTGATTCACAACTTCTGTACTTATACAGCTTCCATGCTCAGTAGATCAGAAGGGAAATATTTTTACACTAAATTTGTCACTATGGGGAGAAAAGCAGGGTATATCATAACGTAATTAAAACAATTTTTTAAAACTTTTCTTTTCTCCAGTGGGCTGAGTTCACCCTCTTTGCTGCACTCCTCTTTGTTGTGTGTGTCATCTTCTCCATCATGGGATATTTCTACACAAGTGTGAACCCAGAAGAACTCTTTGCCAAGCAGAATGAAGAAGAGACATCAAACAGTAACATTAACCTAATTATCAAGAAGACAGAGCTATAAGATAGTGGTGGACAAAGGACTTTAACAAGTTGTCAAGAAAGTGGTATCTAACAACATATGCTCTGCGTAAAGGGCAAAATAAGCTCCTGTCCCCAGAAAATCAGCTGGATAAACCTTTACAAAGTCCTGGGAACTGCAGTATTAAAACTGAATGTACTGTCATTTAAATCTGCCTGTCTCTGTTGACCTCATCAGTGTTGTTTAAATTTGCCCTTCTCTTTTGGCTTCACATTCTTCTTCTAAAATTTACATTCACGGTGCATTCCTATAGATGTCTACTCATAGGTAAGTCCCACTGAATTCGAGGAGACCTAATACCAGGTAAATGTATAATTCCAGCCAGACAAGTTTGTTGGGAAGCTCATAATGCCATTCATTGCAGCTTCAGACCTGAGTCCAGAATGGTCACATAGTTCAGTCCTTCCTGGAAAGTCACTTTGGAATGCAGTTGGGGAAATGGTGCATCTGAGAACTTCCCAGCAAGAAACTCCTTGCACATTGAATTGGGTTGCCAAGGAGATGGATAAGCCAATAGAAGTGCAATCCTCTTACCTGTTCTTGCTGCACAGAGGCCTCCAAGCATGGATGCTTCTATGCATCCAGTGCAAAGTGCAGCAGTGGTCATCTTTGCCACCCCACTCATTACCCCATGTATGTCATGTAGGCAGCCATTTTCAGCCATCAGCGTTCCCCAGGCAGATAGCCCTCAGAAGCAATTAGACTGCACCTCCCATGGTCCATTGACTAGGAATTCTGGGTGTTGCAGTCCAAACATATCTGGAAGGCACAAGGTTGGGGAAGGCCGATCTAGATGAATTGCTTCCGAGGGGGTAGGAAGACAACTGGGGCACTGTTTGGATAAGGCAGAAGCCATCTGCCCCAGCCTTTCCCTGCCCTTGGAGAGGCAGCTGGCACGATTCTTTCTTCACTACCTGCAAGGGGGGCTCTGAGGTTGAAGGGCTCCCAATACTCCTATTGACCTTCAGACAAAATTACAAGGACCTAGGATAGCACCTATGTTAGCTTTCTATAAGCAGGGAACCTCCACTTGCAGATCTCTGAAGTTATGGAAGGTAGAAACACTTGATCTTCCTCGAAGTGTAGCTCAGTTCTTGTTTTAGTCTGTGGCGCATAAGCACTCCTTTCTGTCTAGTCTACAGTTATGGACTGAGAAGATCCGAGCAGACATTTGTCTATGTTGAGATATTTGTACGATCTGTTAAGCTGAACCTTATTCTTAATACACCTTTAGTTAATGAATGGAGCTCAAGAGTGTTTTGGTTTTTCATACATCTCTCTGTGGCATAAATCATGTTGTCCACAGTCTGGTCCAAGTGTGTTGCTATTCAAGTATGAGCATATGCATCAATTGCATCTTGCTTGACTATAATTCCCATCACACATGACTGTTGACTGTCATGGGAACTAATGAGAACCGTAGTCTAGCAACATCTGGAGGGCCACCAGTTTCCCAGATCCTGCCATAAAACATGACCAGATTCCTAGACAGAAAATATTTGTATGTAATAGAAATAAATGGTATTTGTTTATTATATTTATATCCTACTTTTTCTTGCAAGGAACTCTAGACAGCTTACATTATCCTCTTCCTCCTCCATTTGGTCCTCATAATAACCCTGTGAGGTAAGTTTGGCTGAAAGTCAGTGACTGGCCCAAAATCACCCAGTGAGGCGTGGAAACCATTTTTTTTTTCAGAGAATGTACATGATTGGCAAGTGCGTGTCCTTTGCCATGCAGATTGGCTTTTAATGAGGAATTTTCCATGTATGAAGTGAAGAACACTCTCCCTAGAAATTGTCACCCAATAAACAACAGCTGGATCAGGGCATGTGAATTGTTAGAGCATAAGCACTCTAAGGGTTATGGGATTGTGCAGAAAAAGGTACTTTCTTATCTTTATTCCCATTCTTCAGGCACAGAGAGAACTGATAAAAATGTAAGTGATGCTTTTGGCTGTTGTAAGAGAATTAATCAGGGATGCATCTATTTCTTTGCAAAGCCCAGGAGTGCAACTTTCAACTGTGCTGTAATATAATTGTCCAATTTCTCAGCTTGTACAAGCATGAGATATTTTGCTTGAAATTATAGCCTCATAATTATTGGTCCGTGTGTCTCTCGCTCTGTGTGTGTGTGTTTGTGTGTGGCATTGCAGCTAAGCAAGTCATACTGTAATCAGAGGAAACTGCAGCATCATTGTCTAATGAGAAATCCAGTGTGGGGAGATGCATTTGGGGATGACAGCCACCGCCTGCGGAAAGTCTGTTCTGTGCTGTCTGAGCCCCAGATGGTTTCTGTAGATGCAGAGATCCTTACTTTCGGCCTGGATTTCATTTGCGGCCAGGCTTTTGGTTTTGGAAAGAATGGGCGGGTGCACCTCTTAGCGGCCGTGCAGCAGCTTCTCCGTGGCAGGGGCCCTCATTGTTCTGAATCTGTCATTGGAAGGATGCACCATGCAGAAATCTGCACTGGCACAAAGGGGCACTGAAACAAAGAGAATATGTATGTTTGGTTTAAGCTGCTTATCCCTGCCTTGCCCTTCCAGTTCCAAAGTGATGCTTTTGAGTTTTAGGAATATAGTCACATGAATGGATAGGCATAGTTTGTCAAAGTTCTGAATCCAAAATCAGTGAATAAAACCTTCTTGTATATTGATCAGCTTACCCCAGTATGGTTCCCTCTAGATATTTTGGACTCCAATTCCCATCAGCCCCAGCCAGTATGGAAAATGGTCAGGGATGAGGGAGTTGTACTCCCAAGCATCTGGTTGGCGAAGTCTAATATGGTACTGACTTTAAATTATTTCTCTTTGACCAACAACTTCCATCAGTGCTAGCCAGCATGGTCAACAGTGAGGGATCATGGGGCTTGTAGACTGAAACATCTGGAGGGTCACAGACTTTTCATTCATTCATTAGATTTTCAATCCACCTTTTATCTTACAATGCACCCAAAGGGGATGCCATCATTCTCCTCCTCCTGCTCTCAATCTTATCCTCATAACAGCCCTGTGAGGTAGGCTGGGCTGAGAGTCTATGTCTGGCCCAAAGTCACCCAGTTGCCTCCATGGCTGAGTGGGCACTAGAAGCCAGATTGCCCGAGTCCCAGTCTCACGGTCTTACCCATACACCCTCTGCCCTTTGCTGCTGTATAGAATGGCATGGAACAATCCTGACTGAGAGGCAGTGTTCCTGTATTAATCTGGAGACACTTGTATAAAGATTCTTGGAAGTTCATTTTGCAAGTGTGCACGTGGAGGAAGCGACGAGTGATGTCTGCCATACATTTAACAGAATTGCCTGCAACATTGCTCCATGCTGAGCAGAACCACTCTAGAGGGGTCCCCAAGAGAAGGCCTTGTGCAGCTGTTCCATCCTTTTCTTCTGAATATATTTCTGGTGACAAGAAGAGAGTAGGAGTGCTGGGGAATCATGGAAGGTTCCCGTCCATAAGCAGCAGCATCTGTTCCACACAGTGAGGCAGGGCAACAAAAGTCTCGCCTGGAACCACTGAGGCCGGCCCATATGAAGCCGTCACGTGGATAAAAAAATAACGAAAACTCTCTTGCCTTAATTTCTCCTAAGCAATATCAACAGGATATTCATGGCAGAATGAAAATAAACCCATTTATGAAAATGGGTTGAAAATGAAAATATGAAAAAGGAAAATAAAACCAAAATAAACAGGGAAGCATGTGTGGATAAGCTACACAGACAATTGCCTATGAAGGACCACAATGTGTTTGAGGAACCTCACGTATCACACGGATAAAGGACTGCTTAAGCATAGCCACCAGCATTTCCGGGAAGGTTATATAATCACACTGCACTCAGCACAAGAGCAGGTCAACAAGCACTTGCATGAGGAGACAATTAGCAACTTCCTTCTCGTGAGGTCAGACAGCCCACACTTGGCTTCATGAGGCACTTCCTAAGGAGGGCAGTGGGGTTGGCCCAAGGCCTTCTGCTGCCTGAGCTGACAGACAAGATGGTGCCCTGCCTTATCTCATTTATTTATTTAAAACATTTGTATCCTGTCCTTTCCAATAACAGCTCAGGACGGCTTACTATGATAAAATAATACTATAATAATACAATAATATAGTAATTAAAACAATAAATAATAAACATACATAAAAGAAATACTTTCATAAAACTAAAGATAAAAAGAAAGGAAGAGAAAGAAAAGAAAGTGCGACTGTGAGCAGATCTTAAAATATCTAAAATCCTTAATTATTAAAATGATGACTGAATAAAAAGAGTATAAGGTCGGTGCCAGGCAGACCTCTTTGGGGAGTGCATTCCACAGTGTGGGCACCACTGCAGAGAAGGCCCTCCTCTGAGAAGATACCCTCTGTACCTCCTTCAAAGAGGGTTCCTGGAGCAAGACCTCCTCTGCCGATCTCATAGCGAGATACTGATTGACTAGCAATTTAATCTTACTTAAGCACTGGAACTGGGGCATGATCTTGCACTTCACCTGGTGCAGAGTCCAGAACGATCTGTCCCCCAGCAGAGAAGAGGCAGGGTCTGTTGTGAGACCGTGGGTGGTCCCCTCGCTGTGCCCATGACTGGCCACCAGTGCAGAGGAGCGTTCTACACGAGGCAGCCCAACTGGTCTGATTCGTCACTTGTTTTCGACTTGCCCTGTTCATGCTCATTATGCTCAGGGATTAGTAGGCTGGCCCATTCATCAAGAGATTTGTTTGCTTTTCCTAAATTCTCTTTTACAATACAATACAAATTAGCTCTGCAACAGCTGAATTGCATGAGCCTGATGATGCCTGAACAGCTTCCAAACTGAGCCGCAAAGAGAAAATAGGCCTCTTACCCATCCCAAATCCCGTGCCTGAAGGAACAGATGAATTCCAGCACTGGTAGGCACTAACAGACATGATTTCAAATTACTGGAACATTTAATTTTTTTATAAGCCTTCAATTTGATTACTTGGCTTTTGGAGCGCACATTAAAGTCATTTTATTTTGTCATGAAATTGTCAGTATACCAAGGGCTTAACAACTTTATCTGCAGAAGGCAGTGCTGATGGCCTAATGTGATATTATCAAAAACTACAGACTTTCCAGAATGCCTCGTTTAAAAACAAAACAAGCATACAAGAGAGGGGGAGGAGG